CCTGAGCTATCTCGACCAGGTCAAAGTCCAGTTCGCCGACCACCCCGACGTGTACAACCGGTTCCTCGACATCATGAAGGATTTCAAGAGCGGTGCTATCGACACCCCAGGCGTCATCGAGAGGGTCTCGACTCTGTTTGCGGGCAATCCGGCCTTGATACAGGGCTTTAACACATTTCTGCCACCCGGCTACAAGATCGAGTGTGGCACCAACGGCGACCCAAACGCTATCAGAGTCACCACGCCCATGGGAACCATGGTATCGACTATGCCCGCTCCAAGGCCGCTTTCACCGCCACGCAGCGGTGCTGTCAATGGCAACAACGGCCCGCAACACGAGAGCACATACTACGAGACTGCCCAAGGACGCCCATGGCCTCAACAGCAGAGAGCTCAAGGCCCTGAAGGTCAAGAATCGATGTTTTCACCCAACAACCGTACTCTCGGAGGGCCATTGTACGGTCCCCAAGGACAGCAGGGCCCAGCGCCTCATTCGCCAGAGGTCACATCGCGTCCTCATCCTGACCCTGCTGGAGCTGCAGCGCTAGCTCACCAGCAAGAGCAGAGAGGTGTTTCGCAGTTACAGAACGCGGTATCTGCAGCTACTGGCCGCTCAATGATGTCACCCAGCGTCGATCCGGGTGCCTCGTTACAAGGACAGGCAATGAACGGTGCTGCTCAGCTTCCACAGATGGGCGGAGCTGCAGCAGAGAAGAGAGGACCGGTTGAGTTCAACCATGCGATTAGCTACGTGAACAAGATCAAGGTACCATTCTTTACTGTGAGGTTGAAAACCAAAATGCTAATAGTACCCTAGAACCGATTCGCAGCTCACCCAGACATTTACAAAAACTTCCTGGAGATACTACAGACGTACCAGAGAGAGTCGAAACCCATTCAGGACGTATACGCCCAAGTCACTCACCTGTTTGGTGGCGCGCCAGATCTCCTGGAGGATTTCAAGCAGTTCCTTCCGGAGTCCGCTGCTCAACACAGAGCGCAACAGCAGGCCGCCAAGAACGCGGCTGAAGACGCAGTCATGCTCAGCAATGTTCGAGGTGAATCAGGATACGGAGCCGCTGCAAACCAACAAACGCCCGGACGCGCCGATACATCTCGATTGCCTCCGATGGGCAACTTCGCACCTACACCTACAGCGAACCGCGACAACAAGAGGAAGCGCGAGCGACAAGGCCCTGTAGCTGCGCCGATGCCCGCGCCCATGTCGCAAGAAATGCCAACCTCGAACGTTCGAGGTGGATACAACCAGGGCAATGTCAACAAGGTACGTACATGATTCTACACTATAACGGGCAGGGTTAGGTCACGTTGTTTTTCTTTATAGAGGCACGTGCATCTCCATGGCTCTCTGCCCCAACCCTTTCAATTCTTTTCTTTGGTCAATTATATTTCCATCTCAACCCCACCAAATCACAATCATTGTCATCGAGACTATCATCATTATGTTTGATGGTGGGGTACTGTTTAGCTCTCCTCCCACCAGAGATGAAAATGGGCCTTCCTTCGAATGCAATAGAGCATCACAACAGATCATCAACTAACATGTTGAAGCGCGCAAAGACCGGACATGGCGCAAAGCAGGCAATTCCCGATGGCCCGCCAGTATCACCTACCCTCACTCCTGCGCTGCCTGAGCCAATGCCACCGACGACGACCACCACACCCAGCCAGGATGAGCTTGCTTTCTTTGACCGCGTCAAGAAGTTCATTGGAAACAAGAACACGATGAACGAGTTCTTGAAGCTCTGCAACCTCTACTCGCAAGATTTAATTGACAAGCAGCTGCTACTGTCTCGCGCCGGATCTTTCATCGGCGGAAATCAGGAACTCTATGCTTGGTTCAAGAAGTTCATGGGCGAGGACGAAGAGCAGCAAAAGTACCGCCCTAAGACTGTCAACTCGCGTGTCTCATTATCGAACTGCCGAAGTCTTGGTCCTAGCTATCGCTTGCTCCCAAGGCGCGAACGAGAACGCGTGTGTAGTGGACGCGACGAGCTCTGCAGATCTGTTCTGAACGACGAGTGGGCATCTCACCCGACCTGGGCCTCCGAGGATTCTGGTTTCGTTGCCCATCGCAAGAACACTTTCGAGGAGGGCTTGCACAGAATCGAGGAAGAGCGCCATGACTATGACTTCAACATCGAGGCCTGCAGCCGCACGATCCAACAGTTGGAGCCTATCGCCAACCAGCTGCTCACAATGAAGCCAGAGGACAGGCAGGGATTCACATTGCCACCTGGACTTGGTGGACAGAGTGAGACGATCTACAAACGTGTCATTATGAAGATCTACGGCCGTGACAGGGGAAAGGACGTGATCAAAGAACTGTTCCAAATGCCCTGGAGCGTCGTTCCCGTACTTCTCCACCGCTTGAAGACCAAACTCGAGGATTGGAAGGCCGCCCAGCGTGAATGGGAGAAGGTCTGGCGCGATCAGACCCAAAAGATCTTCTGGAAATCGCTGGATCACCAGAGCATCACCGTCAAGCAGGCCGACAAGCGGCAGTTCCAGCCCAAGTCCCTTACGAACGAGATCCAGGTCAGATACGAGGAGCAGAAGCGCCTCCAGCAGATTCAAGAGATATCGCAGCCGGACTACCAGTTTGCCTTTTCCTTCCGGGATGAAGAGGTACTCTTCGACGTTGCTCGATTGATGCTCACATTTGCGGACAACAACAACAGTGCCGACTTTGCAAAGGTCGTACCCTTTATCAAGGAATTCGTTCCTCTCTTCTTTGGCATCGATTCTGCCAAGTTCGAGCAGCGGGTACAAACCTCGCCACGCGATACGCCAAATGATTCTGGCGAGGACACGCCCTCTCCGGACGATGATGTTTCCCAACGCTCGCAGAAAATGAAGAAGGGGGACCTCCGTCGCAATGTTCTCGACCCCAACAACAAGTCACGAAAGGACAAGGAAGACAGTGTTGCGTCGGCGAGCCGTGACAGTACTCCGGATGCATCCGCTATGGACGAGGAGGCTGCTGGTGACAGCTCAAACTCCAATCCTCGCGCAGATCGGCCAGAGAGGCAATGGGTAGAATATACCGATGCTCCCACGCCTTTCGGCGACAGGGAGTTCGAACACGAAGAACCCTACCAACGTGTAGAGTACAACATGTACTCCAACGCTTCAATCTACTGCTTCTTCCGCATGTTCGTCATGCTCTACGAGAGGCTGTTGAAGCTCAAGGATAGCGAAGAGGAGGTTCGAGAAGTCATCGCGCGCGCCAAGGAGCCAAAGGCAGCGCAGAAGCTCAAGATGCTCGACAAGCAGCCAGACGACTTCTTCAAGGACACATCACCATCAGCAAACTACTACCAACAGCTTCTCGAAATGTTCCAGGATCAAATCTCTGGCGAAGTCGAGATGAACTTTATCGAGGAGACTTTACGAAGGTACTATTTGCAGATTGGGTGGCAGTTGTACTCGTTCGACAGGCTCCTGAGCTCGCTCGTTCGCTTCGCACTTGCTGTTGTTAGCCATGATAACAAGGATAAGAGCCTTGATATCTACAACCTGTTCAGGAAGGACCGCGTCAACGATACCACAACTCACAAGAACGAGATTAGCTATCGCAAGGCTGTGGAGAAGCTCGCCAAGGACGCTGACACCTACCGCATCACCTACGTAAGTCAACACCACCTCCCTCTTATAGATCATGTATTAATGTTTCTACAGAACCCCGCCAAGATGTGGGCGCACGTGCGTCTTTTCAAGAAGGACGACCCGACCTTTGATTTCACCACGCTCGACCGGATCAAGCGCTGGCGAGCATACGTCGCCTCGTACATGGCCGTGGAACCCACCGAAGAAGTCGACCTCTCCCGTGTCAACTACCCATACCTCAAGAAGCGTCTCGCTCGAGCCGAAGATCTCACCGAGGAAGAACGCTTCGACCACGTCAAGCACAGCGACAAGATCACCGTGTCCATCAGCCCCGCCGCTTACATCATGACCTTCATCAACAGCGAACCTTTCGGCACAGGTGGCGTTCAATACTTCCTGCAACCAGACGCCGTGCGCGCGGGTCTCAGCGAGGCCGTCCCCAACCCAGCTGAAGAGTACAAGAAGCTCAACGACGAGCGAAGAGAGAGGGTCCAAGACATTCTCGTCAGGAACAACACCTGGATGAAGGATCTTAGCCGGGATGATGTAGACGCGAAGAAGGCGGCGTTCAAGAAGGATCTTGAAGAGCCCAGGAAGGTGGCTGATAATGAAGATGTGGACATGGACGGCGCAGATGGTCTTGACTAGGCGCTTTATCCTTTTGTTCGCAAAGACTATGCGGCTGGGTGATTGGCAACGCATGTTCTTGCGTCTCTGGCGTTCTTTTGTGTGGTGTGGCGGGATTTGGATGTCAGAATGCGAATGGACGAAAAGGCCTGGTTCTCTACGGATTCCTTCTGGCTTCGATTCAGTTTTGCATGTTTCCCGCGTTCACGCGTTTGGAAGGGATGGCTGGGTGGGTGGCATGTGTGCAGCACAAGGCGTGCCTTTGCACAGCACGACTATGAGGGGGGGTTTCTTTTCTTTCCCTCTCCCTCTCTCTCTTTCTTCGAGATGGGCGCTGGTGGCGTTTGTTAAGGATATGATAACCCGACTCGACTCTTCGTTCCCATCTATATCCAGTTTTTTTGTGTGGTTTAGTAGGATTGCGAATTCTATTTTCATTTTTTGAAGCTTGCTTTCTGGTTGTTGTGTGAAGATACTTGACGTGAGTATGAGGTAGCTGGGGAGTATGCTTGTATACCAAGTATATACATTGTGCTATTACATCGCGTTGTGCCTGCATCTTAACACGTGATTTGTTTACAAGAGGAGATAGCTCAAAGCCCCAATCGCAGCCATCAGGCATGTTAGACCCCCGACGAGCAGTTGCTGGGCGGCACTTTCATCTACAGGGCAACTGATCTCTGGCTCTGGAGCCCTTCCAGCCTCAACCCACATTAGATTCTCATCCGAACAGAGACTTGCCGTCAAGGCCACCGCCATGCTTGTCGGCTTGCAGCGTCAATCTTGACCTGGCAAGGCGTTGGGGTGACGGTTGAATTGTCCAGGACTGCGCACTGTTCGCCCACGCCGTAGGAGCCTCCGGTAACTTTCGTAGTATCAACGACGTTGAAAGCTATACCCTGATCTCCAGGACAACTCTGGTCTTTTGTTGCGTCGACAAGATCAATACCATGCGCAGTCTTCTTCGTGGTGAACGTAACGCCTGAGGTTTGCGAGTGGCCCTTTTGATAATATATCTCCCGAAAAGGATCGTATGTACAATTAGACCAGATCAGATTCCACACTAACATCCATTTGCCCTCCGTGTTGAACTCGGTGTAGTGGCGATATACGAGCTCCGGGTCGGAACTCGACGTGTCTGTCCAGTTGAGCGTACTCCTCTTATAGTAGTCGCCGAAGCTTCCCTCGTCGACCTTTGAGCCGTTTGTTATATTCCAGACTTCGAATCCGAGCCGCAAACTAAGCAATGTTGCGAGTTCGGGGTTTTGAACGGCAAAGATGATGGGGAAATATGGCGCTGGCGCGTATGTGTCGTTGCGCGGGAAGACTAGGTCTACTTCTACGACGCCTGAGGTATCGCTGGCAGCCGCATCAACAGCTCCAAGCAAGGAAACGAACAACCAGGTGATACAATTAAGAACACGCATTCTGGGGGCCAGAGACGGCCGGAAGGCTGCCGGGAAAATGCAATAGAAGAAGAAATCGTAGCAAAGACCCGGTAAGTAATTCAATGAAGTCGGGAAGCCACAGTACAAAGGATGAAACTGGTCCAGGGGAGCGACATTTGTACTCGCTATTCGAAGGATTAACGGATAATAGGAACAAACCTGAACAAAGCTCTATACCTGATAGAAAGATAAACGTACGGTCGGGTACAATAGTTCAAGTTTGGGACTGGATTGAGTGTAGCTCGCCAGGGGCAAGGACCTACTAAGGTGCGGCACGGGTTCCAAAAGGGTAGGCTAGCGGGGGTTGATGCCGTGAGAGCCGCATGGCCATATTCTTCTGGACATTGCGCTGGAGCCTAAGATCTTTTCGCGGGTAATTTTGGTTATGTACGTCGGGGGTATGGATAGTCGGTAACATGGGTTGCCAAGTTCCCGAGGTCGTGTGAAGTGGTTGTCAGATGCCTAGGTGGGTCTTGGCATAATCACATGTTGCCTTGCTTCCTACAGTGGTTAGCTTATGCATATGCTGCATCGATTGCAGTGGCCGTCGCTATGCTCAATAATATCAGCGAGGAATAATTCGGCAACGACATAGTGGTGATTGGAATGCATCTTTCCTTCTTACTTTCCTCAATCACACCGGTCTTTCAAGTTTGAGACTATATCGATCCAGCATAGCGCGGTGTTAAACGTAATACATAAATTTGTTACTGTGTATCACTTTAGTCGCACCGTAGAATTGAATGTGGAAGATGTTTGTTTCTGTCGATTCCAACTGCGTAAGACGTTCCAACATCTGCTTCTCTTGATAGTACCTAGGTAGTTCTCAGACTTGAGTGCACTCCTCGCAATGCCATTCATTATGGTAATTCACAGCCCCACAGTCCTTACAGATCCAGCCTTGATTTGACATGCTGTGGATTGTCGCTTGGGCTTTTTGTTGACTCAAGTGTACTCCGTTGTTGGGTTCAATGCGGACTCGTTGCTGGGGGTAAGGCTTGATGTGACAGTGGGGAAATGTATGTGTGCGTTTTGATTTACTATAACACAGTCAGCACTCGGAGTAATGGCAAGAGAATGCCTAGGTAGGGGTTAACTACGTAGCGTTTTGTGGAGTCGTTGTTCATGCGTCAGTGGCAGATATCGCTGCGGGACTTTTATGTCAATTCGTTTCCAGCATCGAAGGTTTGCTAGTTCTTCCAGGAAGAGCACATTCCTAAACTGCGAAGCCAACTTCACGCTACAATTTCAGTTCGTGACTTGGATGATGGGACATAGACCACCTCCTCCCATGATTCACGTACCACTAGATCGAATTGTTACTCTGACTTCTTGAATCCCTCATATTATCGTAGGTGACAAATAGATCCAAAATGCATGATCCAAAACCTGTATCGCTATAATCCCCGTCATTCCTCTAATATACACCCCCTGGCTCGTCAGAACACCCTAGATTGTAATGTCCACAGATGCGCGTCTAGCAGCTCTCGAGGCTCTCGCCAGTGAAAACCAAGAAAAGGTCGAAGAACTAAACCACAAGAACTGGCTACTCAGTAACCAAAACATCAAGACGCAAGAAGAACTCGCCAAGCTGGAAGAAAACTTACGCAACGAGTATCCCGACTTTGATACTAGGCGTACCAACCATTCAAGCTTTCAGGCCAATCCATCGCCACCTCTTCATGATCCATCCGTCGCTAGAGATGTCTCTCACGCTCACCCACAGCTACTTCAGCGTTCACCACCAGGACCGTTATGGACGCCATTCTACATGACCGCCCGCGACGCCCCACGACTTTATCTAGAGTTTGTGATACCAGGATCCAAAGGCGAGACATTGGGGATAGCTGTAAACAACGTAGATCTGGCCTTTATATTACAGCAGACATTGCGACGGAGAGGGTAGGGCGAAGCGACGACGAAGAGGGGTGTCGAGGATTTCCTAGAGCAGCCGATGATGAAGGTAACGTGGACGGGCAGAGAGGGAGAATTTGGGAATCTGACCTAGTCGCGCAAAGAGGTTGGGTTGTAATGTATCTTGATTTTGAGAAACGGAGTCTATGAAGAAGGAGTATTTGGTATCTCAACGCCGACCCATGCATATTATAATCCCGATGTTCAATCGTCTTTGTGCTTTTCGTCAAAAGCGAGCATGAGGCCCATGGCCCGCTCGTATGTCCACATTGTAACAGCACTGGCTGGCGCAGCTTTCAGCAGACTGACCGTCAACCCGCGGTACATGCCTCGTCGACCTTCATGCTTCCATATATGCGTAATGGTACTGATGACGCCGGTATATGTTGGTATGTTCCGATGAACGTATCGCTCGCGCATCGGTCCTTGTACTTGTAGTCGCTTGCGCGTGGTATCGAGCGGGTAGACGGCTGTCTTGGAGAGAACGCTCGCGATGACACCGGCGACGGCATCTGAGCTTCCGAGTGGCAGGGGTATGGGAGAAGAGGCGGTTATTGGCTTCAAGCTTTCGTAGCTAGCGAAGAAGAGACCCATGTACGGCACAATCTGGCTCACGCCTGCGCCGAGGCCGCGAAAGAAGCCTCTGGGTCCTTCATGCTGCGCGATGTGCTTGACAGACGCGATGATGGAGGTATAGACACGATCTTTGCCTTGCGCAGCGAACCGCGTGCGAAGAAGATCGAGCGGGTATGTCGCCGTCGTCGCAGCAGCACCCGCACTAGCTCCGCTGAGGAAATTGGCGACCGAGCTGGGAAGCGTATATGGCGGCGGAATGGTCTCTAGCCAATGCGATATGTACGTGTAGGCAGAGAACTGGGCGCTACCGTACGTCAAGTACATGAGCTCCGCCGGTATGTTGCCCTTCCATAGCCCCGTGACACCCTCTTCGCGAAGAATCTGTTTGAGGGTGCCCAATGTTCCTTTGTAGACGGGCCCTTGGACATTGCGAACGCTGAACGGGTCGGACAGCGAGTGGATTTGGAGTTGCAGGCGGATCTTTATGACGTCGAGGGGAGCTATCACGAAGCTGTCGCAATGTCAGCCATGTGCGCGAACATAGGAGATTGAACATACCGCGACACCAGGCCTGCCGCCGCACCTGCGACGACAACTTGTCGCTGGGAGCCCTATCAGTCATATTAGCCCTGCGTCTGCCAGCATATTGTGTCGGTAAACGGTCAAGATAGACAAGCTCCTACCTCATGCTTCAGCTGTGCGACACACTCAGACATGCGCCCAGCGCGTCGATTGAGACACGTGCTATGTTCGCGCGCGTAATTAGCTACCCACCGCCGATGCTCGGTAGGACACCTGTAATTGCAAACGTGCCGGGCAAAGGGTAGTAGAGACCTCGGTTTACGGGTTGATTGTTTCCACCACGCTCGCTCCCTGACGTTGAAAAGCAAGGAACCCCGCCGTGTCCCGTCACTGCCAACAGCTGCGGCCGACCATGTCTTTCACCATCACCACCAGAATACCGCTACGCAGTCTGAGATCGCAAGTCACTACTTCCCGCAGGACTACGCTTGCTGTTCAGAGACGGTGTTTCTTCTTCAACTCGTTCTGGCGATCACCTAAGCCGGCCGAGCATGCTGATTGGAGCCCCGCTACACATGGCCCTTTTCGGCCAACCAAACGCCAGGAACAGCTGCAACAGCAACAGAAGCAAGAGCTGAGACATTCGAAAGAGCAGGAACTTCTCGTTCATGATGAATCCAACATTGGCCAGCTCGACGGTAGCCCAGCGAAGAGAATCGCTGTGAACATCGATGGAGAGCCCAAGATCTTCGACGCTGCGTTCCTTCGTGACAGCTGCACGTGTACGCAATGCATGGACCCTGACAGCAAAAACAAGCGCTTCCAGACGTCAGATATACCCGAAGATCTAGAAGGTAGCTGCAAGACAGTAGTGGATGAAGAGAAGGGAGTCTCTATCGAGCTTCAATGGAAGACAGACGTCAAAGGCTTCGGTCCGGAGCACCGCACACGGCACTCTATCGACTGGCTACGCCGCGCATTCAACACAGAGATTGAGCTACGTGGCGGAGTGCGACACGACGACAGAGTGTTCTGGGACAAGAACAGGATCGTAAAAGATAACAAGTGGCTCGACTACGACACCTACATGTCCCAAGACGAAACCCTCTTCGAAGCCCTCACACACCTGAACCGCTACGGCCTCCTATTCATCAAGAACGTGCCCGAATCCGAGGAATCCGTCGTAGCTCTCGCCTCCCGTATCGGTACCCTCAAAGACACTTTCTATGGCCGAACATGGGACGTCCGCTCAAAACCCAAAGCCGAAAACATAGCCTACACACCCGACTACCTCGGTCTCCACATGGACTTGCTATACACATCCAACCCCCCGCATCTACAACTCCTGCACTCCCTGCGAGCCCGTACCCCAGGTGGCGAATCTTTCTTCTCTGATTCCTTCGCCGCAGCACACCAACTTCGGCGGCAGTCAGAGGGGCACTTCAGAACGCTGTGTACATTTCCCGTAACATACCACTACCACCACCCGACCTACCATTACCACTTCACCCGGCCAGTGATTGAAACCTTCGCTTACCCTAACTATAGCGACCCTGCCAACCTCGCCATCCGCCGCATAAACTGGTCCCCGCCTTTCCAGGGCCCCTTCGAAGCGCGTATCGGCAGCGGTAATTCCACGTCGCTTCGCTCCTTTATTGCTGCTTCGCATGCGTACGAGAAGCTGCTTAGTGCGGAGGAGAATTTGTACGAGTATAGGTTGAATGAGGGCGAGTGTGTCATCTTCGATAATAGGCGGGTGTTGCATGCTAGGAAGGCTTTCGACGCTACAAAGGGCGAGCGGTGGCTGAAGGGGGCGTACGTGGATGACGATGTTTTCTTCAGTAAGCTGAGGGTGCTGGAAGAGAAGTTTGAGGGGAAATGGGTCGCTGAAGGTGTGGTCAGGCATGCCGTGAAATGAAGGTGGGGGTGTTCAGTAGTCTAGGTTGCGCAGTATGGATATGGCTGTGCTTCGGAACTTGGGTCTCTTATTGAATTCAGTCAATGGTCAGCATGCGTGGAAGATATCACCCATGCCCCTTGCGCTACTGTAAACATTCCAGTCTCGAAAGCTGCGAAGACGAACTTTGGGTAGCCTTTGGTTACCATCCGACTCCAATGCATAGTCAGTATCAATACGGCGTCATGACGCGAAAAGAAATCTTCTTTGTGAATCCTCGGTAACCTGATCCTGAGCATGACCGATGATGCTTCCCACCACGATGCTCTGATCAATATTTAGCACGAGTGATTTCCAGGTCACCACCCTCGTCCAGACCGCTCTGTACCCGCATTCCAATACTCATCACTGCCTGTTCCAATCTCGTCGAATCGAAATCCCCGCAGCCCACATGCAGATGTACAGACCGCACTGCAGGAAAGACTTGCGACAAGGAATCAAGCCGGCACTCATGCAGATCCGCAACGAGGCTCTCAGCTTCTCTTAAATAGAACGTTATGCGGACCATGCGGATGATCTGGCGTTCCGTCGCATCAAGCCCGAGCATGAGAGTGTAGTATGATTTGAGAAAATGGGGGAAGCAGAATGTGTTTAGCGCAAAGGGGAGGAGCTTTGCTTCGTCGTAGACTTTGCGGCAGACGCGCAGGAGAGCGAGGTCATTTCGATGCGTGTATGTGGCTTTGAAGGAATATATCCAAAGGGCGTACGTGCGTTGACCGAGAGCGTGTTCGTAAATGTGGTTTCTGATTTCTCCGGGTAGGCGCAAAAGTGGGGACTCGGCAGTGTTGCGCATGTATCTGTTGATGTTAGCTTGGCATGGTGAATGGCTCTTACACACCTGCGGTGCAGTGTTTCGGTACTTACATGAGCAAGCGTGCGTCGGTCGTGCGTTCCATATCCGTCATTGTTGGCTACTCAGAGTGTCGAAGTGGTATAGCACGGGGAAAGACGTGGGGAGCACGAGGTAATTCACACAGCCAGGACTACTAAGAAAAAAGGCCAGGGTGTATTACGCTAGCCTCAAGCAGACCGCTCGCTCACCTGCCCCAGGTGCCGCCCACGGTGTTTCCCGAGCTAAGAATCCGGAAGCCACGCTGAAGTAACGAGCGAATGTCTGCGCCTTGAGACAGCATCATCAAGACATGTGCAACAAGATCAGTCTATGCCACTATCCAAACATGCTAACTCAGCAACCCAACTACATTCTACTTCTTCTTCTCATCCTCATCAACGACGGCCATGATTTGCCTCACTCAGCACTAGACAGCCGTAGCTACGTCACCACGGTATCCTCGACCATGATAGTCTTGCCGATCAAATAGAGCTTGAGTGTTTCAAAAAGCGCCCCAAATTCATACCACTGCTTCAATTCACGTGCTCGATCTTCCCTCGATATCAGTGGCTTTTCAACATAAACAGTTCGTAATCCGCGCAGCCCGCCCAGATAAAGAGAACCACAGATGATTTCCGGCTGCCCACTCAAGTACCATGGCAGAGTGTATTCCCATGCGTTGAGCTGTACAGTTTGGATTTCATCGAGCTGTGAGGAGGAGAGTCGCATTTTGAACAACTGAAACTCGAGGAGAGAGTTGAAAGAGAAGAGGTTCAGTCCGAGCAATGGTGACTTGGCAGTTTCATGATAGGTTTGAATGCAAGTGAGTAGTAGACTGAGCGGATGTCCGTTGACGCGACCGTCGCCCTGGATCTTGTAGACACGGCCGCTTAGTACGTATCTAATGAAGGCACAAGATGTTAGCACAGGTCGTTTGTATTGTGATGGGCAGGGATCTCCGCACCCGTAGATTTGGTTCCGTAGCTCAGCTGGAAGACGCAGAAGGGGTGACGAGTCGGCGTTGCGCGAAGTACTGGAAGGATCGGTTAGCTGGCAGGCAGACAAGACGGTGTTGTGTTACATGTCAGAGCCACGACTCCCAGGTTCCGCCATTTCGAGCTTTTGAGTTTCCTTCGTAGTAGCGAGGAGATGGGAAAGATCGGTAAAGGTGTTGAGCGATTCGAGGTCTCGTAGCAGAGGTAGTGTGGTCGAGGGCATGTGGTTAATGTATAAATTCTGACTGAGGGAGGTGGTGGCACAGACTAACACCCGCTAGCGTTGTTCGAGCAGAGGGGAGAGTCCTGGAGAACGAACCTGGTAGGTGCGGCCAGACAACGTCGCTTCTTCCAATCGCCAGTGAATTCAAGAAGTGGGTAGACAATAGTGCATTGAGTTGTAGTTTGCAGTATACATACTATCAGACCTTGACAACTAGACAATTACTAAGGTAATGTATACGCCTACCCTGAGTATTCTTTGTAGAATGCGATTGATGTTGATTCGCTTGGAACTGGCGCTTCATTCGAGCCAAAATGACTAGCTGACTTGTCTTCGCGAGGTCCACCCCCATAGGCCGGCTTGAAATATATTCGGAAGAGCTTCTCATTGCTAGTTCCGAGAAAACCGAGTAGCAGAGCGTTTGAAGTGACACAGTACCATGCTTTCAGGAATTGTACTACCGTGTGCTCCATTCCTGGTGCCGCGATGCATACGCCGAAGAGACTGAAGCTTCTTAAATGCGAAGCCCGTTCGCCCATCCCTGCGGGGTGTATGAGGGGCTCTTCGCGTTTTGCTCGAGGGAACCTTTCCACTCTTCTTTGGCGCAGACCAGAGGCTCCATGTGTCTCCAAGAGCGAGGGTTAATGTCGAGGAATCTTCGGACACAACCTATCGCGTATCCCTGTTTTCGCATTGTCGACTTTGAGACACTACGCAATGCCACCCATACCTGTCTTGGGTGCCATCTTCAATCGCACAAGCGGAGCATATTACGGGTCCGATTTGAGACTTTCAAGCTGCGGCCTGTTGTTTTTTCTTCTTTTTATACAAGACGGCTTTATGTCTCTTCTCCTCGAACCCAGCAGACTCCCCTCGGTGCCCTTCCATCCAACAATTCTGGCAATATAAATCACCGTCACAGCCCAGGCATTTCAGTGTCGCATCGTCTTGACAAATGATACACCATGTGTCAATCTCGTCATCGACCTGTTTTTGTAGATTGGTAGACACTGGCGGCTTATTCCTTGGCGCGAAAGATGGGGCGGAAGGAAGGCCGAGAGAATCTGTTTGTGATGGAGACGGTGCTGCTAGAGCGGCCAGGCGTGCGGTGAATGCATCTTCGATGGCTTGACTGCTGGCAAAGTCGTCTTCGGGGAGGGTATTCGGTGCGGAAGGCAGTGTGAAGCCGCCGTCTGTGATATCTGCCGTTGATGCATTCTTCTGGTCTTCTGATTCTGACTTGTCGTCTTCTGACGGAGGAGAAGGGGGATCGTATTTCTTGCTAATTTCCAGTTCTGCCATGACCCTCGCAATCACATCATCTGCCTCGTCATCCTCGGTTCTCCTCTTGCCATCTTCATCTTCCTCATCTCCACTTTCTGTGTCTTCCCTGGCTCCACCGACCTCTCCACTTCCTACGTTGATTTCGATGCTCTCCCAGTCCGTCAACTGCTCCTTCGATGGCTGCTCAGATTTTGTACGCCCACTCTGCGGCCCCTGTACCCTGTTATTCACCACTTCCGGGAGTATCTTGCGCATGTCTTTCAACAGCTTTCCAACATCTTGTTGTTCTTCCCTGGACACATCCCAATCCTTCCGATCGCCGACGGCGCCGTTTAGCTCACCAAGTAACTCTTCTAGGCTCTTTTCATCTTCCTCGTTAAACTCTACATTCGAGCCTCCTACGCCTTGGGCTATCCCTTCCAGGTAGCTCGGTGCCCCTGGTGCTGCGACCGGTGCGCCGGCATTGTTCGTGGACGTTGTACGCGACGGCTGTGGCGAGCCCGAGGGAGACGCGCTACCAAGACGTGCGAAGCGAGCGGCGAGGTCATCGGTGGGTTTGGGAGGATTCCTAGGCGCTATCGAAGCGCTATAGTTGGTATCCAGGCTGACGGAGGATGTCTTGAGCGCGTTGAGGCGGGCAAGGAGGTCGTCGTCTGTTGAGCTAGGTTCGGGCATCTCTGGATGATGGGCGATCACTACGGTGATGTGTGGATAAGGACTGTGGATGTCTAAGTTATAGCGCCTACTGGACGCGGCTTATGACGCGGTGTTGCATGAAGCTCGAGGCTCGGGAGTGAGCGGAGTTGGCGCGACAGCTGTGGTGGAGCGCAGTGGGGGAGGGGCGAGCTATCCCTGACCGCGCTTGGTCCTCAACCAGACAACATGTGCGATCCAACAGCTGCATTATTAGATTACGAAGAGATACAGGAACATCTGGACGTAAGCTGCTTATTTCTTGCCGTCGGGTCGGCGCTACTAGAGATGGCTGCCAGCGGCCCGTGTCCTCGCATGCACGACATCCGGCCCCGCTTTCGTCATATCCAAAGCTCCGATGGCATCCTTATATGTCAGCATTCGTGTTCTGGTACCATCTCCATCTACTCCGAAGCTGCCGATTGTCACGCCATCTGTTCATCTTCATCAAACATATAGCACAGCTCTATATCAAATGAGCATCTACCTCTTCACCAGACCTCCAGCACAACCTTAGATCAACCATCGCCATGGCTCTTGCACCCAAATTCGCTGGCCAAAAGCTGGCCTCCAGTGCTATTCAGCCCAAGGCCATTCACACACTCGAGCTCTGTAAGTGTTTCATCCTCGACTGCTGGATTACAACTTCCCGACCCATCCCAAGGCCTCCATCAGACTAACAGTCAAATCCCAGACCTCGACTATGTGTGCCCCTTCTCAGCCAAGATGTTCAAAACAATCTACGAGACCCCTCTCCGCAAGACACTTCTCGAGAAATACTCCGACCGCGTCGTAACCATCTTCCGGCAACAAATCCAACCCTGGCACCCGTCCTCTACCCTCGTCCACGAAGCCGCCTACGCCGTACAAAAGGTTGACAGTTCCAAATTCTGGGACTTCTCACAGAAGCTATTTGCCCAGCAGAAAGACTTCTTCGACGTAAGCCTGGTCAACGAAACGAGGAACGCGACGTACAAGCGACTAGCCAAAATCGCCGGGTCTGTGGGTGTCGATGAAGCCAAGGTTTATGGACTGTTGGAGATAAGCGACAAGCCTGGTGAGGATGGGGCACTGAACTCAGGAAACGGGGTTACGGATGATGTTAAGGTGCAGGTGAAAGCGAATCGACTGACGGGTGTGCATGTTACCCCTACAGTTGTGTTCGATGGGGTTGTGAACAATGAGATCAGCAGTTCGTGGACGGCAGAGCAGTGGGAAGAGTGGTTGGAGAAGAATGTCAAGTGACTACATGACGGTAGTAGTAGGGCAGTTGCGCAAGGAAGGTTGTGAGTGACCCTAGATCCACAGTCCCCCCAGGTTCGCTCTCTCACCCACGCGACTCTCACCCGAGCCCTTCTACGGCTGCTAGTCTCTTGTATAAAAGCCGGTCATCGATAGTCCTACATCCTCCACTCCTCTTCCTAGTACCAATCTGAACATAATCCCCCTCAAGCAACACCTAACGGTGATCAACCATCTTTTCTTCTCACCTCCAAGCCAAGTCTGATCCATGGGTCCATCCTTAACAACACCTACCGGCGATCCGGCCCCCGCGCCTACCATGTCGACCCCTCCAACAAAGTCGAAGGAGTACATACCCGACTTCTCCGAGCTCCCGGACCTACACACAGTCATCTTAGCGGAAGACAAATATGACTACTTATTTCATGATTATAAAAACCCCTTGACATGGGCGCGGGCCAATGATACAGCCACTTCAACACAAAGTGAAGGGACCTCTATAAGGGCTCGTACTGCCCGGTCACAAGTTCAAATGCTCGAAGAGGGAGGAGACGAGATCATCCAACGTCTCGCACCGGAACCCGAGCAGCGTTTCGCCATATACACATGGAAATACGACCAGCATGGCATTTTGAAACAGGCTCCGCACATCACAAAACAAGAGCTGGAGGCGTGGAGGAACCTCGATCTGGAATGGAAGCATCGCCCCGTTGACCCTGAGAGCATGCCGCTGCCAGTCAAGAAGAAGCTCAAGACAAGCCATGATGGACACGTAATGCCGGGATTCGACGACTACACGATAGATGAGCGGAGGGAGGCGCTCAAAGCGACGGGGTCCGGTGCTTTTGCCATGAAAGACGTCCTACGGAGGATTGACCGGCGGAAGCGCGAGCGACTGGCGATAGAGTTGCAACAATCTGAAGCCAAGGTGGAGGTCTTGCAGCAACGTCTGGCTGCCGAAGAGATCAAGAAAGAGAAGGAAACAAAGGAGACGGTGGCCTTGCAGATGGACGATGGGATCGCCCAGAAAATAGGAGGGACAAACAAACGTGTTGGAGTTGAGACAGAAGAAGAGAAAACTATCGGCTTGAGGAGCATGAAGTAACCCCGTGGCGATATGGCAGACCTGGAGAGTTGGAACAATGGGATGGAGGCTGGGTGTCACAACGGCCAGGTTCGTGGAGCAGGATAATAAGGACGTGGCTGAGCATATGGAGATCACCGCAACTGGAAGATAGGAACGTCCAGGTTGCATGGTTATGATGCGGGTTTCAAGTCAAAAAGTGATTTCAGAGCGCGATCTCATACTAGCATTAGTATAGGCACTACAAAAGTTGAATGACATTTCAGTGAATAGGTGTTTTGGCTGCGCACGGAGCACTCCTTCTTGATAACTGAGTCAAACCCTCCAGTACCCTCCCCCGCTGTTTATATCCCCATTTCCACCGCTAGAAACCGGTATAGTTTCCTTGAAGATCTCGACATCTCTAATTCTCACCTTGTAATGTACAGTTGCGGTACGCAGGAGTTGACTTCATCATTTGAGATCGCTCGCTCGATAAGTGTACAAAAGGCCTCAACAGGTGCAGGATACCTTCCCGCTAAACTCAAGGCTTGATAAACAAGCCCAGCGATCAGTCTCAAGGCCAGCCGTCGCCGAGAGTATCACCAACAGTATGTCGGACTACGATCGCATGTAAGTTTTCTCCGATTGCCATTTCTCGATCGTAGCTAACTCAATACTAGCACCCAACTCAACCAAGAGAACTCGCCCCTTCTTCAACTCCCAGCGGAGCTTCGAAACCGAATCTACAAGTTCGTTCTACACGATCACCGCCCCGTATACGTCGATATACCCGCTCTGGGCGATGAGCACGGAAACTTTGTCCCTAGAGATAACACACGGGGAAATCTAGCGCTTCTATATACATGTCGTCAAGTCCACAGCGAGGCCTCAATGATGTATTTCGCGCTCAACACATTCCAATTCGAGCTTGACACTTCGCTCATCGAATTTACTAGTAGTCTCACTGCGGACCAACTCAACGCGGTCAAGTCTATCGATATGACGGGAGAGCTTGTGGAAGAGATTGAGATGCGTGCCGAGCATCATGCGAGCGACAGCCCGCGATTGCACCTCGATACGCTGATCTCGCTGCAAAAGGTATCCATCTACCCTTACGCGTTCCGTTCAAGGCCAATACATCTCGATGCCATTGGAGTTTATCTAAGGGAGGCGACTGGTAGGATGGGTCTGGAGGTCATAGAGGTCAAGAGGAAGCAGAAGCTGACACAGGCAAGTTGCAATCGCGTAAGGGATTTGATGAGGAGCCATGTGGCTGGGAGGCCCTGATCAAATAGTCGTGCAGTGCTACTCTTCATGTATTCAACTCTTTCAGGTTTGGTATCTGTCACATGATGATAAAAGATATACGAACCTCGGTTGATCGATGATCTCCAAGGTGCAATGCCAAGTTCATTGGAATGAACGAACGTGTATCGATGATCATGTAGCCATGTAGGTCCTCATACTATCATGTAACCCAAAGCCCCAAATGTGGCCGCTAAGCTCGCCAATCCTACACCGACAAGCTGCTGAGCCGCACTCTTGTCATCAGTGGGGCAAGAAGACCCAGGCTCTCGCGTCTGCTTGCAGTGAAGAGAAGTCATAGACGAGGAAATATCGGCAGCTGCGGCTGAGTCGAACTTGACCTGGCAAGGAGTTGGAGCTGGAGTGGTGGATGCCATAGATGCACAAGTCTTTCCATCATAATCCTCCCAGGTGATGAAATCAGGGACCGCCAGAGTATCGTCTACGTTGATAACAATCGCTTCGCTGTTTGTGCAATTTTGATTCGTCGTAGCGGGCACAGGATCCACGACTTTTCCGGAATTGTTGATAGTAAACATTGTGATGCGACTCGTCCCATTGCCGGTGATACCACCGCCGAGGAAGGCAAGAGAGTCCTCGGTACAGGTATTCCATCTCACTTGCCATGCGATCCTCCACCTGCCCTCTTTGTTGAAGCTGGTGAAGACTTTCAGCTCTCGATAAGGGTCGCTGCTGGAGTAGTTGGCCCATCTCAGGTCATAAAAGGTGGGGTAGCTGTGGACCTGGCTATCCAGGTCGAGGAATTCGATGGTCATCTGCGGATTCAGGAATGGCGCTAGCTCGGTATTCTGGATAGCGATTATGAATGGAAAGATTTCTGTAGGAGCATAAGTCTCATTACGAGGGAAGATAAGATCCAGCTCCATCGCGCCGCGGGCAGCGTTGGCAGCTCCCATGCAGGCGGCGAGGAGTAAGGCAATCTGCATGCTGATGCCAAGCATGGATGGCAGGAGGGTAATGGCGAGATGGAGTTGAGAGTGCTGCAGTATCGGAGAGATGGAGAGGGAACGTCATGACGGGAAAATATCAAAGGAGGATCAGGCTACAAACGGAAGAATGCATATAGTGAGTTGGGTGGCACAGTGATTATGCACGTGCATGTCTCTTACGCTAACGAGCCGTGCGAAGACGTTGGCGGTTAAGCTATCTTGGCGGCTCCTTGGCACCGGATCCTTCATTCGCGTTGGACTAGCCTTCGAAGCCCTCCTTTGTTTAGCACCTCCGCATCCGGAGCGTTTCTCAAGTGGTCTAAACAGTATTGCGATAATACCGAATAAAACGAGCCGCCTAAGGTTTCTATAGTTCGTGTCGCATTTGCTGCGTACATGCTCTTCGAACTTTACAAGTAAATAGCTCCTACCTAGACAATATTCTGCTGTCCTTCAAGAAGCTGGTGCACGGTCTAATGGTGACCGCAACACACGCCAGTTGTACCATTGGTGAGAGATTGGAGAACACTGAGCATTATGTACCTTACATGTAGATGAGTAAGTAGATCGCTGGCATCCTGGATGCTTCGGCCTATGATTTGGTTGTATCCGCATGAAGAAGTCGCTGACTGTGTGGCGAACTCGCCTGTGAAGAAATGAAAGCGCTCTCTGGAGAAAGGAAGCCACTTTCACGGTACCCACAGACCCCAGCTTTAGAGAGGTGACCCAGAATGGAAACACCACACCCACGTGCAGCAACAGTATAGACACCAAACTTGAGCAAAACTTCACGCATAAGAGTCTCTCCAGGTCCCAGACCGCATCTGCAGTAAGCTTGCTGCGCAGTGCAACTCAAGGAACTTCAACAACGAGATTGTCCGCCCAGTCCACCTGATCTTCTTTATTCCCCACTCTACTTCCCTTGTTCCTTTGCTTCCTAGTCTTACTATCGCGTGCACCTTCTCTTACAACCTCCTCTAGTATTTCTCTCCCTGCGTCATCCTCGCTGATCAGCTTCGCAGCGAGACTGAAAAGCACAAGTAGCGTCCACGCAGCATCGTTCCCGCAATCGTGCAACTTTGTAGGTATCATACCGACCAGGCGACATAGCGTTCGGAGCGATACATTCCATCCAGGATCGTCAGCCTTGTACATCTCGCGAGCAAGCTTCTGCGTGTCGATGATCGCGGTCACGGTGGCTATGTCATTTATGCTGATACCCGCCTTGTTCAACGAGAGAAGATCCGAAGGGATGTCGTGGCCAACAAGGATGATTGGAAGTTTCTGTTCGTTTGAGTCATTGACTTTCGATGAGTCATACAGAAGTAGCTTGCGCGCATTGCAGCACGGCTCCCTGTCTCCATTGACGTAGTGAGAAAAGATGTGGTTGAGAACGGCAGCGCGCTCGCTCCATCGCACTTGGTTTACTTGGCCATGGAACAAGGCCCGCAATTGCTTTCTATTTACGCCTACTCGGCCGTACCGGAAGTCGAAAGTCTCTGTGTGGAGGGGCGGGTGAGTATGGTGCATCGGTGTTGAGAAGTGTGAAGTTGTGAGACTCCTCGTGTCGAGTGTGGATGCGCCGATAGCGCTGAAGCGCTTGGGGTTTCCGTGTGCGATATCGAAGGAAACGAATACGGGGTATGCGTGAGAATTCGGGTTGTCGTGGTTGCGTGCCAAAAGCTGCTGGAACAGGCAGCGCACTTCTTCAAGTGAGATTGGGGGAGGAAACATTGCTTTGAGAGTACTGATCCTTGCTGTTACGGTCACTTCGGCTGAGCTGGGATTGACTGTCGTGCAAACAATAGAGATGGACATCAATTACAAAATATACTCTCCTTTGACTCACCACTTGGCCGCAGCCATACTTTGGTTCCCTTACCCTGGTTCTGTGGTAACCATGGGCGGACGACAAACCAATCGCAGCTTGTGCAATTCGCATCTGGAAAGTACAGATGCACAAAGATAGACATCCTCGATAATTCCGTGTCTTACTACGACACCACACTTTTCGATTGAGAGTATCTCTGATATCATATCCATCACAAGGGTCATAAGCCCATACCGAACAAAAACGCCATCTATCCATATGTGCTCATAAAAGCTACTTTTCTCCACCTGGTGCAACCCCACGGCACTCGAGCAAGATCTACTGAGCGGCCGGCGCAGCATTGTTGGAGACCTTTCCGTTGGTGATCTTAGGACCAACAACCGCCTCCTCAAGCGCACGCTTGACATCGGCAACAAGATCGGCCTCATCCTCAACACCACAGCTGATGCGGACGAGATCGTCAAAGACACCAGCTGCCTCGCGCTGCTCCTTAGGAATACCGCCGTGCGTCATGGCGCTGGGTACCTCGACGAGCGATTCAACTCCACCCAGCGACTCAGCCAGTGTGAAGATCTTGGTCGCTTGGCAGAAGCGCTCGGCAGCTGCGTGACCGCCCTGGATACGGAAGGAAAGCATGCCGCCACCCATTCCGTCACGGTGCTGCTTCAGCGCAATGTGGTGTTGTGGGTGGGAGGGAAGACCGGGGTAGTTGACGGAAACGACGTGTGATGAGGCCTCGAGAGCCTTTGCGACGCCCGTAGCGTTCTTGGTTGCTTCCCTCGCGCGGAGATGCAGGGTCTTGAGACCGCGGTGTGCGAGCCAGCAGTCGAAGGCCGAGGGAACGGCACCAATGGCGTTCTGGAGGAAAGACAGACGCTCGTATAGCTCATCGGAGTTGAAGGCCGCGGCGCCCATGACGACGTCAGAGTGGCCGTTGATGTACTTGGTGACGGAGTGCACCACGATATCCGCGCCGTGGTCCAGCGGGTTCTGAACGTACGGGCTCATGAAGGTGTTGTCGACAACCACCATGATGCCATGCTGATGCGCAATCGTGGAGATCTTGCGGATGTCCACAAGCGTCAGCGTAGGGTTCGACGGCGACTCGATCCAGATGAGCTTCGTGTTGGGGCGGATGAGCTCGGCGATGTCGATCTCGATGCTCGGGCTGAAGGTGACTTTGACATCGTGCGTCAGGGCGACCTTGGTGAAGTAGCGGTGCGTTCCGCCGTAGACGTCTGAAACGGACACGACGTGTGAGCCCGCGGCGAGCGATTGCAGGATGTTGGCTGTGGTGGCGGAACCGGACGAAAATGCGAGCGCATAGCGGGCGTGTTCAAGGGCTGCGACTGCCTTTTCAAAGTTGTCTCTGCAGGCGCATTAGTTTTAGACATATGGGTGGTGTCGCGCATGCGTACCGGTTTGGGTTCGAGGAGCGCGAGTACTCATACTCGCCGATGGGCTTTCCAACGGCGGTTTGCGCGAATGTTGTCGAGAGGGAAATCTGATTGGATTAGCCGTGTGTTTGTGAGACATGCGCCTGAAATACTTACGGCTTCAATGACGGCTCCGGTGACGGGGTCATGGGGGCTTCCGGCATGCACGGCGAGGGTGCCGAATCCGTGGACTGGTGACGGCGCGCGTGGCGGGGTGTCGATGGGGTGGTCGGGGAGCGTCATCTTAATCTTCTGAGTACTCTTTGGACGGCGGGCGGAGTTGACGTGGTGTCACGAAGGAACTTGAACCTCGAAACGCAGCGAGAGGACAAACTTCTTTCTAAATTTCAGGCCCTCCGAGGTGTTGACGCCTATGGGTGAATTATTGTTCTAGCGACAAATCCTAGCGCGCTTTCTATCGGTGGTGCATGTGCGGTTGACCGTGATGGCGCGAATGCAGAATAATTCTTTCTTGCAGAATTTCCTGTCAAAGTGGAGATGGAAAGCAAGGGAGGACCATCTCCATGGCTCCTGCGATCTTATACCCAACAGGCCGCGTTGGACGTCTGACATTTCTCAGCAGCAGATTAATCAGGCGGCGTTTGCTCAAACCGTGGCATACACAGCTCGGCCCAAAGCGCGCGTTGGTTTCGTGAGCAAGCGGAGATGGTGTCATAGTATTCTCCGACCCGCCTTGTGACGGCCTTGGCAGCTTTTCGATTACACATCGCGCTGCGAGTGCTACCAAGTCCAGCAGGTTGTTCGGGCGAGATGCTTTATAGACTTTTTGGATACGTAAGCACAATTTAACATTGGCGCTCAATGGCAAGTGATTTGCATCGTAATCTGATTGAAGTGGAGAGAGGTCTATGAAGGGCGCAAACGTCTATGGGTATCTTGGGGGTATAATGGTGATGCTCAGTAGGCATCCTCCTCTGGCCGGCTCTTAAGCTTCACATATCCACTTATGCCTTTCTTTCGCGCTGTCTGCTCGCTATGGGAGACATGTCCCGTCGGTGATGGTGAAGACTTTCCGTTCCTCGTAGTCGGCGTGAGGTAGCTACGCCCATCGTCGAGGCCGGTGTTACCTCGCCGTTTCTCACCAACAAGAATGGGGTCTTCCGCGATCAAGTTCTCCATGTCTTCCCATTCTTTCTGGTTCAACACGTCCCATTCTTGCGCCTGCTGCTCAGCCAACAGATATCCCCTCAGCTCGTCGATAATTTTAGTTGGCGACAAGCCCCATCCGCTGATGTACTGTGCGTTCTCGGCCATGCCTAGGAAGGAATGTGAAGTAGCGTGTGAAAGCTGCCCAAAGCCTACAGGTGACTTGCGGAGGATCGATCTGGAAGACCTGGAAGTGGTGATATCTTTGTCCAATGGATTCTCGAGGCGTTGGGGATTGTATGTTTCTTGCGTGATCAGTAGTCGGAACAGATTGCGACCGATCGAACAAGTATCCTCCCACTGTTTGAAGCTGTCTTTCATGCCCTGGGTTCGACATAGCCAGGCCACATTGTACGCAAGCAGAGACACGCCTTCAATGAAGGACGAGTATGCAGGAGGATCTTCGGCGCAGAGGTGACTCAAAGGGCGGTCGACGAATAACGCGCGCGGCTTCGGAAGATGAATACGCGTCTCAAGCGTTCGGGACGCTTCCGGACTGGCGCTGGACGAATGTGAGGGTGTCGAGCCAGGGAAAGGTACTTTCTTGCCCTGGTAAGAGGATGCTGGACTGAAGATTGTAGGTTGAGGGTAATCGGCATGGGGGAGTGTGATTTCGGCTGGGAGACGGATGCCCAGGTAGGCAGCGACTCGAACGACGAGCTGGGCCACGGCAGCCAGTGAGGCAGACAGGCCGTCAGGCGTCACATCTGTTTCAAAGTTAGCATATCGCCTCGACAGGTATAGCCTAGACATACCATTCAGATCTCGAAGATCGTATATCCGCAAACGCGTGCCTGGCCCAATATTATAGACCTCTTTGATACCGCCGTCCCTTGTCTTTCGCCGCTGCATCTTAAGTCCCGCGAGCCTCGCAGCAGTCGTGCATAGCTGCATGCGCAAATCTATGGTATCGTGGTGCATCTTGTCTGCGTTGTAGTCCGACCGCTTGACCCTCTGTTGCACCTTGTCCAACTCGTTCGCCCGCCGCGATTCGATGCCGTATGTGGCGGACGAGAGGTCTGACTTGCGTTGCGCGTTCGCCGCTCGCCTCGCTTCAAGCTGCTTCCTGGTATCCTCCATCTGCCGTCGGAGCTGGTCGGCATGCTCTGATATCATGCCTAGTCGATCCTGTATCTCTGCCGTTTCTGCTTTCGTCCGCTCCCAGTTTAGATTGTTCGTGCACTCTTGCCTGTCGACCAAGAGCCCGCCTTTCGAGTCGGTGAGAGAAACATGTTGGATCGCTTTGTCTTCCGAGCCGTTAATGATAGCTGTGACATGTTTCGCAACGGCATCGCGGTCTATCAGCGTCTTTGCAAGTTGAATGCGGGGCTGTTCGAGGTATGAGCGCGCGCAGGTCATGCAGTGGAGAGGCTGGCTCAGACTGCCGTCTCTCCCGCAGATGTCGCACTCCATGATGAGTAGAGGTTATGTTATGTGATGTCGCCTGCAGAAATGCCGTGGAGTGGTAGGTCTGGAAGGTGCAGCGAGACCATGGTGGTAGTGATTCGTCGAGGCGGTTGGCGAGTGCCTATGTAGCCATGGAATCCGTCAGTGGGATTTTCGGTGAATGTCTAGGCTCCGTGAGTGTTAGCGCTCTCCTCTGTCGTGAAGCATAAGCAAGGCATCCAGAGGCTGGTGGTTGAAGAGGTTGTGTGATGGAGGCGGTACTCAGGCAGAGGCGCGATTTCGCGAGTCAGACGCTCCTTCCAACGTCATGCCGCGACTGACCAATTCGGATCGCGCTAACGCACGTGGTATACGTGAGTGAACCTCAATCTACCTTTTCGAGTACTGCGTTTAATCTGATAGAACTGACATTTCGCGTCGAATATCCTCCTGATGACGATGAGACGCGCTCGCGATCCCTCTACTTACCTACAGCACTGACCAAAGGCATCGCAAATGAGCAGGACTCCCGACCACGAACCCGAATCATCCCTCCCCTCTCACATCTCTTCGACATACCCCTCTTCTCCTCCACTACTGACCCAGTTAAAAAACACCACCGCAATGGATACTGCCCCGGCTGCCAAATCGGAGCCGCCACCCAGTCAAGAGGCGCAGGCTGTACGACCGCCAATGAGACGCATGCATTCAGATGAGACAGAGCGGCCATCCTCAGCACAGCGCACGAAAGACGAGGTCGACGACGAAGCAGACGCAGCCGCTGAACAACAGTCAGAAGATGAAGAGAGTGATCCCGCAGAAAAAATTGTCGATTTTGATTGGCAAGACCTAGAGGCGCGGTACCACGATGCCATGAAGACATGCCACAACCAAGAGGACCTACTAATGCAAGAGTGGGACAATCTCATGAATGTACAGCTGCCTCTTCGCTACATCTGCCCGAGTTACTGATGAAGTTGTTAGTATTTCCGCATCTGGGCCTCGTCAGGGAATGAGCACGAGACCGAGCGGACATACGCGAGGTAAAGATGCCGTCTGAAAATCGCGTGATCTACTAACAACTTGCCTCAGACTTCGCACACGCTCGACATACGTTCAGCACGAAGAAGCGGAACTGGAGCAGAAGCGGAATCATTGTATGCTGGCCTTTCCTTCCTCTCATGCTTTTCGACTAATATGCCGCAGACATCAATGTAGTCAAAGCCTTCGAGAGTGCGCTCAACCTCCTCAAAGCCAGTGGCCTTGGTCGTTGATGCTCATCAACCTAGGCGCTATCTACCTTGCTCATCATCCACCACAATCGGAAGTCTCACAGCGTCTCGCTGGCCCTGATAGCTCGTCGCCAACCCCGCGGCAATTGGTGCGGCTGTCCAGCCTTCCAATGTGCACTTCATCAAGGATGCACCTGATGCGCTGTTGCATCATGTAGGATGTCGTTGACACTAAAATGGTCATTTTGGAGCAGAAATAGTCGCAATAAGCGGTTCGCGGTCCATACACATCAGTTGAAGACATTCATTGCCAGGTGTCTGCTCTATCTAAAACCCTAAATCAACCGCTCAAGATTCTATATCAAATGCACCGCCTTTTGCCGAAGGTCTATACATGGTGCCCGTGCCTTCCATATATGCGCTAAACAATGAGACGCCCATGCCCTTTCATGCGAGGTATTCCAGAAATGGTCCAAACATGGTCCAAGTTTGTGATGGTGATGTTGTGGTGCGTGTTTCGTCTATAGAAGAGGGTTGGAGCGGTACTCGGGGACGACGCCGTTTGTTTGCGACTTCTCAGCCTGGTTCTCCGTCTCGAGCTCGTTGCCGACGCTGTCGTCTTGCTCGGCGAGCCACTTCTCCGCCTCGAGAGCGGCAACACAGCCGGATCCTGCACTGGTGATGGCCTGGCGGTACCGCTTGTCTTGGACGTCACCAGCAGCGAAGACACCCTCGACGCTTGTGAGACCCTCTCCAGGCTTGGTGATCAGGTAGCCGTCCTCGTCCATGTCAAGCTGTCCCTTAAACAGCTCGGTGGCGGGGTCGTGGCCGACGGCGTAGAAGAGACCCTTTGCGTCGAGGGTCTGCTCCTCCTTTGTGACGTTGTTCTTGACCACTAGTTGTGTCATCAGACCGTTCTTCTTGTCCTCGCCCTTGATCTCGCTTGCGCTGGTGTTGTACATAATCTCGATCTTCGGGTGCGTGGTCAACCGGCGGGCGTTCGTTCGGCTCGCGCGGAGCTGGTCTCTTCGTACGAGTACGGTAACCTTTGACGCCTTCTTCGTGAGGTATAGAGCCTCCTCTACTGCCGAGTCACCACCTCCGATGACGACCAATGGCTGGTCGCGGAACATGGGAAGGGAGCCGTCGCATACGGCGCATGCGGATACACCGTTGCCCCAGTACTTGTCTTCGCCCTTGAGATCTAATCTCCTGGCCTTTGCGCCGGTCGCGATGATCAAAGCATCGGCAGTGTGTATCTCCTCCTCAATCTCCTCTTCGTCGCCCATGGGGTGTAACCAGTACTTGAAGGGGCGCGCTTTCAGGTCGACCTTTGCGACGGTTTGGGAGATGATTTCGGTGCCGCAGGCTTCGGATTGTTCGCGCATTTGCTCCTGTATGCTGTTAGTACCAGTTCGCCCGTAACCATCGCGTGCTGTAACTGACCATGAGCTTGCCGCCTCCGATCTTGACGAAACCGGGGAAGTTCTCGACTTCGTCTGTTGTGGTCAATTGACCACCGGCGGCGATACCGAGAGCCATGAATCCCTCGTACATGACGGCTGCACACGATTAGCATCTCGTCGAAGTGATTGCGAGGCGGTGTCTTACGGTTCAGATCCGCTCGCGCGGCATAGATAGCTGCGGTGTGGCCTGCTGGCCCCGAGCTGTGTATGTTAGCATTATCCTCGAGATCGACTCCGTCGCGCCATTGATCGCGGAACATACCCAATAACTGCATGTTGTTAGCACTATCCGTGCCAGGAATTTTTAGGATGCCACTTACTGACTAGTTTTGAATGCATGTTTCGCGACTGTACTTTTGCAAAGGTTGAAGCAGTCGAAAGCCCCGCTACAGGTGAGACGCGCTGATTATGCGATGCCGCGGCAGCGATGGGGACGGAGAATAAGGATAGATTGCGGGGGGAGGAGGCCCTTCGGAAGATTGATGCGAACACTTTGGCGGCGTGTGCGAAAGTTTCGCGTGTCGCGTGCAAGATGTGGTTGCGGGCGTGTGGGTCGTGTGTGGATGGTGGGATGCGATGTGGAGGTTTAGCAACGGAGTGCGAGCGGTGCAAATGGTGCCTTATGTGGGAGTGACCAAGTGACGGAGAAGGAGCTGGAAAAACGCTTTTGACGTTGCCGCAGCGGGTTTGCGATTAGTGGGCGTCGTCTTCTAGCTTCGGAGGTTCCGCGATATTTGGGGGATGACGGCGAGCCGAGGCGTGGTGGGGTTTTCGATATGCAGATCGTGCTCAACTATGCGTCGCAGTCAATATATATGCAATGCGGTATCAAAATGAGGGCAGCACGTTGGGATGTAGAAATCAAGAGAGCAAACACACCTTATTTGCAAATGCGACACATGTCAGACGTTAGGAGATTTCTGCTTGGAAAGAAAAAAGTCGGCTGCTTGCTGTCGATCTACGCCATCGCCGGCCGGGCTGTCATTCTTAGAAATCGACCTGTACTAGACCCACGTTCCACGCAGCCCACCCATCTTGCCCATCTCGCGTTTAATGTCCGGTGCTGACATGCTTGACTCGAGGCGACTTCTGTATCACGAGCCTCGGCAAAGTTCAACAGGAGCCCCGTCCGAAATGTCGCGACTTCGTCCGGTGCTGAGGCGTAGTCTGGGGGCGACTGTTTGAATGATTACAGTTCATGCACGTTCTGGAGTCGCACGCGTCGCGCTTCACTTTCTGTTCTTGTATATCGGCCCCGCGCTTGGGAGTGAGCACTACAAGTCCATTGTGGGCGTCTAACGCTGCTATCTAATCCTCCGCGCCTGGACGCTTCCTGAGGTTCTCCACATTGTAGAGCATATCCCGGACTGCTTTGTCATCTGCAAGTCGGTCGTCACCACCTTGGTCGAAACTCTTCAACGTCTCTGCGAGCTCTGCATCTGCGTGCCATGTACCGTCTTGTTGTCTTGCGAAGTATTGCAGTCTTGGTGCCTGTTCCACATGTTAGCTATCATCCATGAGATGCTTCTGAGGAAGCTTACCACGTCTTCCCGAACTTCGGTGGTTGAGCCTGGCTTCTGGATGTTGTCTATCGACACAGCCAACTTCAAAGGACCAGTAGACGTGCGGATGATGGCAAGGTCCAGCGCGTTGCCGTTCAGTGGAATGGCATAGCCTGGTACAGATGCACCTAATCTGAAGCTGAACAGCGCTGGTACTCCCTCGCATGCCACAACAACTGTCTCGGCCTATCAACAGTCAGATGATGAAGAAACAAAGTCAAAGTCTTCATGATACTTACACCGTCCTTGCTTGGTAAATTCCATATTCCAGAAACCGCGACCTTGTACGTTGCCACATTTACTCCTGCTGGAATCATGCCACGCTCCTGGAGATGAGTGAAGGCAAGATCACGGATGGCCAGCTTTTCCTTCAAGAGGTAGTTCTGCCAATCCCATACAAATAAGTGATCGTCGCCACCGCCAGACACAAGCAGGCCAGATTGTGTGAGGCAAAGCCTGCTCACAAACGCTTCGTGGCCGAAGCAGAATCCCTCAATAATATGCGCTTGCGGTGGGCCTCTTGATATCCTTATGTGCTCGTCCCGGTCCGCTGTCATGATATAGCCCCGCCTGTCTGCCTTCGCGTAGACGACATCTGTGAGCATAGAAACGTGGCCTAGGAGCAGCTCGTGCTTGAATCGCATAGTCTCCTTGGGCTTCGCCGGGCCTTTCGCTTTCCGTTTCAGCTGCTCCTCAAGAGTCTTTCGATTCCTGCCAGAGTGAACAGTGAGCGTAGTAGCGGAAGGGATCCATTCTTTCTCATCGGCCTCTTCAGTTGCTGGTGCCTCGGGCAGCTCTTCTACCTTGTCGTCATCAGGCGAGGGAAGAAGTGGTAATGCATAAACATCGCCAAACTTGTCTGCACACAATATGGTTGCATCGTCAGACGTGAGGGTAATTGAGCAAGGCCGTCTTGACATGCACCTTGATCATGTCAGTTTTCGAACCTTTCATAACGTGCGCCTCTTACCTTTCACTCAACTGGTGCAGCTGGCTCTGAGCATCGATCTGGAAGACGCGAACACATTTATCTTCGCCAGTGATGCCAACCAAGTATTGTCCATCATTTGAGAGGATGAGACTGGCAAAATTCGACTTTTGCTCTTTCGGTTGTTCCAATTTGATGCGTTTTCCTGGTCGCTCTTCGGAGTCGCCCTCATGCTGATCCTGCTCATATTAGCGATGCGCAACTCCTTCGACCACCAATCCAACGCCACAACATTAACAAATCACACCAAGTACGCCATCACTCACTTCGATTTGGGCGTCTTGCTGTGGCCATGTCGTCACTGACCCGCGGCTGGATTGAACTACAATCTTGGAGCCGCTCGCAGCAAACACAGTCCAGTCATCTGAAGACTCGGAGCTTCGCGCTACAATGCACTGGTACGGAACAGTCATGATGTCTGCATTGGACACGGGCTCGTGGAGTTGATGGTACTTTTCTGTGAGGCCCCAAATGCGCTAGCGCGTTAGGCGAGCAGGGGCCACCCACAGCAGACAACCTCGATTTTCGCCGGCCGAACTTTCCCTCTCTTCCTCAAACCATCAACAACACCAAACTAAGACCTTAAACATCCCTTTGGGTCGCAGAACACAATGGGGGGCAAGAAAGAAACCAAGGCCGCTTACTTCGAGAAGCTCGAGCAGCTGCTCAAGGAATACAAGAGCATCTTCATCGTCACCGTCGACAATGTCTCGTCCCAGCAGATGCACGAGATCCGCCAGTCGCTCCGCGGCGAGGGTGTCGTTCTCATGGGAAAGAACACCATGGTCCGCCGTGCTCTGAAGGGTCTCATCAACGACTCTCCCGAGTACGAGCGTCTCCTTCCCCACGTCAAGGGTACGTCTTCACATCCACGCGACGCTCGCGCACAGCATTGACACTAGTACAGGCAACGTCGGTTTCGTCTTCACCAACGCCGACCTCAAGGAGACCCGTGACAAGATCCTCGCCAACCGTGTCGCTGCTCCCGCTCGTGCCGGTGCCGTCGCTCCCGGCGATGTCTACATCCCCGCCGGAAACACGTAAGAACACGTCTTGCGCGCACACATCGTACAAGTAATTGACATATCACAGTGGTATGGAACCCGGAAAGACCTCTTTCTTCCAGGCTCTCGGTGTCCCCACCAAGATTGCCCGTGGTACCATCGAAATTACCTCCGACTTGAAGCTCATCGAGGCCGGTAACAAGGTCGGTGCCTCCGAGGCTACCCTGCTCAACTTGTTGAACATCTCGCCCTTCACCTACGGTATGGGTATCTACCAGATCTACGACAACGGCCAGACCTTCGAGGCTTCCGTCCTGGACATTGAGGAGTCCCAGCTGCTCAAGGCTTTCTCCTCTGCCATCAGCACCATTGCCGCCATCTCTCTGGCCTCTGGCTTCCCCACCCTGCCCTCCGTCATGCACTCCGTTGTCAACTCCTACAAGAAGGTCATCTCTGTCGCCATTGAGACCGACTACGAGTGGGAGGAGATCGCCGAGCTCAAGGACCGCATCGCCAACCCCGACAAGTACGCCTCCGCTGGCCCTGCCGTTGGTGCTACCTCTGGTGGTGGTGACGCCCCTGCCGCTAAGGAGGAGGCCAAGGAAGAGGAGAAGGAGGAGTCTGAGGATGACGACATGGGCTTCGGTCTCTTCGACTAAGCTACTCACGTTTGCGATGACATTTCTTGAGAGATATCGGCATGACTACGGTCTGTCGAAGCATGTCTTCATGATATAGACAGTCAACGACAATACGATCAGATGAACTCATTCAGACACTATGCCGTGATGCTCACAAAGCATCTGCGTCAGTACAGTCTCAGGTAAGCCTACACCCTTTTCATCTCGCGCTGCTATGATTATTTTCTTTTTAACCCTGAGATTCCTCGGTGAGGATCAAAATACAACAACAACACTCTAATTTTTTAATGAGCACCCTGTCTTTCAAGTCACTCTTTCACAACCATGGCAAGGCTCGAGACTGACTTTCGAACAGATATACCACTAGCTTGTGCACCTCAATATGCTACGAAGAGGTGATGCGTACCAGCTGACAGCAGCTCAGACAGCCTTTGCAGGATGACCCACCCTTTCTAGGTCTATCCGCACCCAAAAGCACCTCCAGAGCGGCTTACCTCCTAAGCTTCGACAGACACTCTCACTTTGCGCATTGCCCAAGTATACGTCTGCGTGTGACCATGCATTCCCGTCGTCGTCTACTGCTAATCCTGAGGCATATTGTCGAAACAGCTTCGCTGCAACGGCCTTTGCTATCCCCTTTCCTCGATATGCTTCTTCTGTATGTAACGTAACAAGAGAACCGTCTAAACCGAGGAATGTCCACGCTACTGCTGTGTCTGTCTCTTCTTCAAAAACACCCACACTCTTTAGTGACATGAGTGTCTTCGTCGTCCTTGGAATAGACGTCCTGGCTTTGACGACATCGATATCCTGCTCGCGCATCTCACCCCACCGTAATCCCTTGGGCAGCTCTCGCGTCTCTGGAAGATCAGAAAGCTTGAACAAGAACTTATTCAGCTCTGCATCAGGGCCTGGAAGCTCGGTGCGCAAGACTCCTGCTTCGCGGAGTACCTCAACCACGTCGCGATGGCACGCCCCTAGCGTAACAACTTTGGGCATGAGGAGATGTCGCATATACGTTCCCGGTGATGGTTCGTATGCGCCGCACGCTGGTGGGGTTGGATATTCTCTTTCGTGTTGCTTTGCCAGCTCCAGAGCAGGTAGATTATCGGAACGCATTGGTGGAGTAACAAGTGTAGCCATATATTCGAGTAATGCCAATACCGTCTTCTTGCTCTCTTGACGAAACTCCGGGGTTGCATTCGAGTGATGCGGCTGTTCTGCGCTACTAAAGATCCACAGTTCGGTCTCTGGGCGCATTGAGCGATCGAGGTAGGCTGCTGCCCAGCATTCTGGTATTTCAGTGGCCGACGGAGGGAATGTGGCGAGTATGTGAGCGTGCTCAGTTCGGTTTGGGTGTTGGATTCTGTAGACAAGGTTGACACTGTAGGGTAGGGCGGTTTTTAGGGCGCGCCGCAGGATGGGGGATGAGGCGGGGTGCTCGTGGACTTTCATCTTGGGCTTTTGCCGTAGAAGGGGATGAGATGGTACTGTCGAGAACGAAATCGTAGCCAAGATGCTAAGAGAGTCAAATAGCTTTTGGGTGGGCTTTATTATGACGAAGTTCTCATGTTATGTACCTTCCCTGTTGGGAATGATGGATGACTAAGATCTGGCTCTTCAACGCGAAGCTTCTCAAGCTTCACCAAGCTTCCTCCGTTCATATCCTACACCAGACCCATGTCAACATGCCAGCTGTGAGCATGATGTCTGCAATCCGTCACTCCAATCCGACCAAAATAGGTCGCAACGCTCAAAGCTTGAAGGGAAAATAGGTGTCAAAATCAAAAAGATCGTACTCGCGAATGTTCCAAACCTTCCTGATATAAATCCTCAATGTGACCTCGGAGCCGACTAGCGCCTCCACGTCCCGCTTCGTCTACTTCGCCAATTTGAGTACCTTGTCAAGCCCACCTGCGTTGTACCGGTCATACCCGCAAATCAGCTCCAGACTATCGAGACTTGGGAAGAACTCCAGTCCGTTGGTCAGACCTTTCTTTAATCCACGGTCTAAACCCCAATCCTCTTCAACATGAACACGCACTTTCCGCACGACAGCGAGTCGGGATGCCAGCGAGCGGAGCCAGGTCTGTCGCCCGAGTCGTTCGTCGTACCTGAATGTGTTGAGGCTGAAGGGGAGGTAGCGGGTTTCTTCGTAGATCTGGCGGCTTACGAAAAGTAAGGAGAATGTATGTGTTTGTTTACCCGGATGGCGCGTGCGGTCGTTTTCGATACCGGGGCCGTATACGTCGTTGTCGGGATGAACGGGGCGGATGTGCGTGACGCAGGGTCGGGGGATCTGGTGGTATTTTGAAGGTGTACGGTCTTTGAGGTGGATTGATCGGTGGCCGAATAGGATCTCGTATATGCGATTTCTGAGTTCGGCGGGGAGACGGAGGAAGGGGGAGGTTTGTTGGTTTTGTGTTGTTCTACGATGTGTCAGTGGATACTGTCGGTGTTTTGTGTCTGTTTCTCTATCCGAGCCGAGGATTGTTATCGAGGCTTCACCTACATCTCCAGCGTCTCGTGGCGGGGTGTGGTGTCCAGCAACCCATCGTCTAGTAGGCGTAGCGAGTTGTCGGTATCTTTTTCAGGGTTGCGGTATGTGTTTCCCATGTCGGATTCATCGAAAAGCTTTCTAATATACTTCAGGGCATTCATGGTCGAGATTGAAGATTACCGGGGAATACGATCTGGTTGAGTAGTTCAGTCGGGACTGGTGTAGTCGTTCAAGGGCATTGGATCCACTGCAAGAGACAGTAGCTGAAGATCCGTACTGTGGAGGCAGTGGCAGTGATTTTCCGGATCACGCAATCACGTTCTCATATAACGGTGCAGATATATGCTGCCTATAAGTTCCTGACAGCTGCACGGCCACTCACAACCACAATGTGGGTTACTTTCATTGATTTAGGTCAAGGGTTCCATTAGACATGCAGGGTCAGGCAGTGGCTTTGAAGAAAAGAGAATAACGGTGCACATCGCCGAAAGGAACCGCAGTAGGTTATTTATTCAGCATTGCGTACCAATGGTACATGTCACGCCGCGTTCGATTCGTAATTTGATCCCCACCTCTTCTTCTAATATTCGCGATTTTGGAAGTACTGTTCCAGGTAGTAGTATTTGGTACCTTCTGTTCCTGTTGCTTTGTCGAGCTCTGCCATGCATGCTTCTTTCTGATAGACTTCCAGATTAGGCCATCCATGTTTGTGATATATGGACTGTAAGAACTCTGCAAAACCTTCAGGAATTCGGTCGTGGTCAGTGTATCGCTTCGTCCAGATTTGAACGACGCGATTACTGCTATGTGGGATGAAGTTCAGCTTGATATAGTGATTCTTCAACATGGCGAAGAAGTGGCGGACCGGCCAGCAGGGTCCCCACTCCACGTCCATCGAGTCATCGTCATCATCATCATCATCGTCGTCCTCGAAATCAACAGACCCATCGTTCTCGTCGTCACTACCGTCGTCGGATGTCGGAGGCGTTTCGTTTTCGCTGTTGTCGTCTGAAGCTTCGACATCATCCTCTTCCTCCTGTACAACAACGACGCTTTTATCTGGTTCCTCCTTTACTTCCCCCTCCAAAGGATACACCAGACGTGATGGCTGAGGATCGCACGCCTTGATAATCTCCTCCGGGCAGTCCATCCAATATACCAGCCCAGTTCTAACGTCCAACAGCATCACATATTCGCTGATGTTGAGAGCGTACGTAAGACCGATGCAGTATTTAGGAATTATGCCGCCGAACTGGTCTTCATGGCTCTCCGTCTCGATTAGTATATCTTCTCTCTCTGCGTCCTCCTGCTCCTTCAGCTCGTCCACTGCCTTCGTCCAGGCGTGGAACCGGGTGCCTGGCAAACAGTGCGGCCGTGCTGTGTAAGGCTGGTCATCAGGAAATGGCAGATGGCGTAGCAGATTGATGACTTCTGGATCCTTGCCTAGACGATCCGCGATTTCGGGAGTCATGTTGGGCCAACCGCCGGGAGGTGGGTAGATGATGGACGAGGGCACGTCCATGAACATCTTTCCCAAGAAGTCGTAGAAGTCGCAGATGGCGGCGATGCACTCATCGCGCGAGTAGATTGGCTCCATGGTGATGGATGGGACTTGAGTGGCAGTAATCGAGTTAGTTGACAAGAGAAGCCAAACCACTATATGTATGCAGCCGTGCCGCTTTTATGCAGATGCCAAGCGCGTTGGAACTGTCACGGATGCACTTCATCCAGGGAAAAAACTGTATAGGTCTGGAGCCTACATTAACTTTTGGTTACCGACTTTACATGCGTTTATGTTGATGTAGGCTGCAGACCGCTTCAGCTTGTTCGACTCAACCGATGGTGTTTTTCGATCAGCGGAAAAGACGGAATCCACATGAACCCGCAACGTTCGCCTTTTTGGTCCGTCTCACACCATGAGCTTATCGACATCGTGTTTTGGTATAAATGCAACTGTTTATGAGAGCAAAGAAGAAGGGAAGGAAAGCAGCGTTTTCATAGCTTCATCTTGTGCTCAGCTTTCATGCATACCTTCTGCTCATGTTTTGTGATCCTCTGGAGAAGGGAAGCGGAAATCCATGTACTGATGTCCTGTTGTTTTGAATCCACCCGCAGCCTTTTGTGATGCGGGTTCAGTAGCTTTTAAGGCCAGCGACGGAGACAGGAACAACCATAAGCTTGACAAATTTTTCAGTCTTCAGACATGAATAGGCTTTCCTAGTTTTTGATAATAGATTGAGTGAAAGAATGAGAAGGATGGAGGACGCACGAGGCCGACGACTTTTATAAATCCGAAGGGAAGCTTGACAGCTCCATGTCTTTCAATCGCATAGTTTTGAGACAGCAGACGGAAGACTCATAGCAAGAGCGAGCGTTTGCTTTTGGTTCAAGCGAGCAGAGCATCGATCGACCTGGGTTTGGAGGCAGAGGAGCAAAGACGCACATGGCTCAACCTGCGGGAAGCTTTGGAAAACCACATTAGTGTTGTTAGTCTGATTTTTGGAAGTAAAGCTCCGGAGAAGGTAGTTAGAAGGAAGAAGCTCCAGCTCAATAGCTGTAGGTTTTATACCCTCGCGAGGCTCGGAAACCCGTGCCAGACAACATGAGTTGATGATATGATCCTTTATGACAAAAGGACGGCAGGAAAAAAGCCCTCCTTACGTGTATCTTTCTGACCAGAAAGACGAACATATGTGAGCTAATTGCCCGTTTCGAGGAGACGAGCAAAGCCAACATGCATCTTACTAACTTGTTTTTAGAATTTATCCAGAACAAAGGCATGTGTGAAGGCATGCACTGTTTTGTGACATAGCCAGGGTATATCTTCATTTTGGGAAAGGAGGAACAGGTCATTGCAAACGGCTTTCGAAGTTTTGCTAACACTCAGCAGGCAACTCGACGAGACATGAACAGAATCAGCACAAGTTTGGAGTTTCGCTGTACAAGTGTAACCATGAACAGGTCTTCCAGGTATTTTTAGACTTTTCGAGGAACGGACCGACGCAGTCATGGAGTCGAAACTTGTTTTTTGAATCAAGCGAAGAGCGCAGCCAGCGAGGCACACATGTCCAGTTTTGCCATTCTTTTTTTTAGAAGTAGAAGAATTTTTGGTAGTCGTTGAAAGAAGGAAGGAAAGCAAGATGCGAGTCAAAGAGCGGTTTATATAGTGCAGAGCTGCTAGCGCGTGGTCACCACATGCTCCAAAAACGGAGGTTACGCGGAGCGATGAAGGTGGTGATGAAGTAATGATGATGGCCATTATCATAGGATATCTTCCAGTCTACGTACCCACTTGCGAAGTCGCAGCTCATAGTTCATCTCTCTTCCGCCTTTGTCCACTTCCTTCCTGTTGTGACGGTGTTTCCTGCGCCTGCGCCTCATCACACTTCGCACTCTCCACATCCTCCTCCCACATCTTCTTCTTTGGATTTCTAGGCTTATCGCTCTCCTGCAACACTGTCCCGTCGCCTAGTGTGACCGGTCCCTCGTCTTCATCCTTCCTCGGTTGTCTGAACTGAGGGTGATCGGGCACTTCTTCCTGCTGCTGCTGTTGGTTCTGTTCCGCCATCTGACCTACTTGCTGCGAATATGAGCCTTGTGGACTAGGATCTTGTCCTTGTCGATTCACTCCGCCTCCGCGACCAACAGGTATGTAGTGTCCTTGGGCGTTGGGTTCGCGTCGGGGTATGCCACCTGTTGCGCTAGGTTGGACGATCAGGGTTCTTGAGGATGAAGATACTGCGACACTCGAGGATGCGGCTGAGGATGCGGCGCCGAAGGGTAGGACGGCGAAGAGGATGCGAAAGGTAAGTTTCACTGGCCAGATGATGAACCAGGTGAGCGGTCCGTATAACCAGCGGCGGAAGACGAGCCAGATGATAGTTGTTATGAGGATGTAGAAGGTGGTCTCAAGATACCACGTGTCGCTTTTTGTGCTCTTCAGGAGTGTCGAGACCAAGTTCTTGCTGTTGGCTAGTAGGGTGTTCAGATCTGAGTACTGCTCCCCAAGATCTTGTAGTGCGGCGTTTGTCTGTTCGAGTGTTTCTTGTGCGAATCGTGAGCGTGATAGCTCGTCTTTCATCAACTGGGCTGTCCGGCGCAGAGCAGATGTGACGTCTGAAGAAGCCTGCGCGACGACTTCGCCTTCCGATAGCCCTTGTTGTTGCTTTCTCTGGCGATATGTGGAAGATGGGGTGGAGGAGCCTGATTGTAGGTTGGAGAAGAGGAGTTCGCGCTCTTTGAGCTTTGCGCGGTCGGCGTTGTGCTTGGCTGTGAGTTGCGCTTTCCGATATTGTGATCGCGATCTGCAGGAACGTAGGGTTAGCATGCCATAACAAAGAATACGGTAGGTGGGGAATGTATCACTCACAACTTCAGGTCCTCGGTTAATCTCGCAAGTAGTACAGCAAGTCTACTCCTCTCGCTGTCTTTGCTGCTATCCCGCCTTCTTCCTGTAATGCCCCCTTGTGACGTAACGTCCTCGACCTCTTGCCTCAGGAGTTCAAGTTCCTCCTCGATGCCCTTCAGAGTCTCGTGTATCTCGGCACTGAGTTCCAATCTTACGTCGCCTTCGTCGGAATTGTCGAGTGGCTGCGAACCTGGCTGGAAGTCTAGCTTGGCTAGTCGTTGGATAAGTTGGCCGACACCTTTGTTGGCTTCGGAGAGGGCGCTTAGGCGGGTGGTGAGAGTGTGCGTGGTGGAGGGGAGAGGTGCCATGGTGGCTCGGAATGCGGAGAGAGTTTGGTCGATGTATGCAGATGGCCTATGACGGAGATGGCTACGGTGGGCCGTTTGGCGGGGTGGAAGAGCGCAACGTGTGTGGACGGCTAGCTGTAGCGTGGCCCGCAGAGAATCTTGAGCACAGACATATCGCGAAGAGGTTGCGACGAGCGTGGCACGTCAATTGCAGCCATTCCCGAATCACCGCCTATTGGTAAGTAGTCGCATCTATTCATCGTGTGTATCCTCTAACAAGCCATAGTCTGCATCGCCAGCTCCTCCGTCCTCCATCGCCGCAATGATCACCAGATTCCTGACCGACGTCCGCGTTACCTTCAATCCCTTCTCCCCGCGCTCCAAGCCCGCCCGCCTCTTCCTCTCATTAATACCACCGAATGCACGTGCAGATGGCATGAAGATCGAGTCCAAGATGCTGCCACGAGACAGCAAAGAGCCTGCCAGTTTGGGCGTCAAGTTCAGTACGTACACTTTCGGTGCACCTTGAGCAAACGTTAACATCCGCGTAGAGGATGGCAAGGAGATGAACCTCGACCTCAGCAACATGCGCATAACACAAGTCGTCGAAGAAGTGGATAGACATTCACGGTCACTGGCTCGTAAAGACGAGTTGGCAGGCAATTAAGGGCTCGGCATCAAGACATGAATGTACATATGTATCAAGACACAGAGCATCGGTCGGCGTCACGGCAATATTCTGGGTTGGGCTGAGACGAGGCATTGATGATATTCCTCATGGGTCCATATACCGTCGTTGGTCGGCGTTAATCATGCACGTTTATCTATCATCTACAGTCATTCCCATGCTCCAATGATATCCAGACTTTTGTGCTCATCACGGCTCCCGTTATATCTAGTTGGACGGGGCACCGGAGATGTAGAACCACTTGTCGATGCTGCCGTCGATGGGGGCAGGTGCCTTGTTCTCGCCCTGGGGAACGTTGAGCGAGCTGGCATCGGTGCGGTCGGGAGAGTGTGAGACGGTGGTGTTGGTGCTAGAGCTTCGTTAGTACAAATCACTCGGGGTAGGTTGGCCACTACTCACAGGCTGATCTCGTCCTTGGGGGTCTTGCCAGTGACAAGCTTCTCCCAGGCCTCGGCACACTCGCGGACAATGTCCATGGCGTACTTCTTGTTCTTGCACTCGCCGGAGAAGGCGAACTGGTTCTCGGGCTTGCCGTCTGGGATCTTGTAGATACGGAACCACTCGTTTGTGGCGCGGAGAAGGCCGGGCAGGTGGCGCTCGACGTCCTCGACGTCGTTGAGCTTGGGGGCCAACGGGTCGTTGACGTTGATGACCATGATCTTCCAGTCGGTCTCTCCCTCGTCGAGCAGAGCCATGACACCGAGGACCTTGACCTGGATGACCTCACCGGGCTTGGCGACGAGCTCGCCAATCTCGCAGACGTCCAATGGGTCGTTGTCACCCTTGGCCTTGGTCTCCTGGTGGACAACGTTGGGGTCCTCCCAAGTCTGCACAGCATCAGCATTTGTGTATTGTCCGGTATCGGGGTCGCGTCAGCGTACCTGAGGGAAGGCACCGTAGTTCCACAGGTAGCCCTTGTGGGGGAAGCAGTTACGCACGAAGCGGAGCTTGCCCTTCTTGGTGTCCTGCTTGATGGGGTTGAGCTGCTCCTCCTTGGAGATCTGTAGCGACAGTCAGCGTCTTTCATTTCGCGCAGCCGTACACAGGGCACGGCGCAGCCAATTGGGGCCGACGCACCTCCATCTTCGCGTTGGTCCAGCGGGGCACCTCAACAACCATGTTGAGGATGGTCTGCTGCTCGTTGGCGTAGAGCGGGATGTCGTGCCATGGCGAGACGAGCTGGCCGTCCTTCTCGATGTAGACGCGGTGCTCGAGGGTGTTGGCAGCGCCAACCTTGCGGGTGGTGTAAGACATGGTGGATGGGGTCTTCGTGGCAGCTGTGTGGATGGCTGTAGAAGAAGAAGCTGTGGAGTTAAGATGGCCTGCAAGTAGACGAGCCCTAGAGTTGATTTTGTCGTTGAGGGGTCTACTAGTGGGGCTCGCAGGCGGGGAGCTGTGTTGGGAAGGCGCCACTGTGACGAACGTCACCGCCGACTGTCTGCATGGGACAGCCGTCGCGGTAGGGAAGGGGAGCTTCGACCGGGTGATCAATCTCTGGGCGGGACAGAGCCGCAACAACGATTGATGGATGAGCATGCAGATGGCACCCGTTTAGTAAACTACCAGATGGAAGCGCAGCCGATTCTCCTCTCATGCGAAGCCCAGACCGAGGATCAGAAAACGTCCGCAAGGTACGGGAGCGGAGACCGGAAGCTCCAACTTTTTATGCACGGACACCGAGGCAGCTTGTCGCTATCGGTTTCTGAGCTTCTTCAAATTGCCGACAATCAGATTGCAGTCATATGTCTTTCCTCATCATTTGAGCTTCTTGGGATAATTGCAGGCTTCACGTCTCGCCATTCAGACCTCTTCTAATCACGAAAAAAGAAAGTTGCCGCTAACGCGCTATGTGGCTACCAGCCAGCCACCCACCTCAACATCAGTACAGTTTATTCGGCCGCCAAAATCCAGGAGCCACCGTATCGTTTTCTGGTCTTGTATCCTGGACCAGCTCAATCTCAGTCCCGGGGTGTGCTTCGATACCGCCGTATATGTCAGGATCACTATCAAGGCTATACGACAGGGGCTCTTCTAGAAGCCCTCCCCAGTTCTCGTCATCATGCTCCATCACGTCGTCGTATTCCATTTGATTTCCTTGGTCTAGGTAGTTTTCTTCGAAATGGTATTGACTTTGGAGAGGTTCTTCCTCGCGATCCCATTGCATACGAGGTCGCTGACGCTGTGCTTGTTGTTCGTAGATGCTCGGGCCAGCAAAATTTGGCATCACCGGTCCATGATGAGACTGATCCGCGAAGCGTACAGTGGGACCCTGCTGAGCTGCATGATAAGTGTCTCTCGTACTCTGCCGCAGGTTCGACTGTGGATACGATGGGTGCGTCTCCTCGGTGTGTCTCCTCCGCGAACCTATGGCCAGACGTCGTTCGTGGAAGGTATCGTTGCAATGCCGCAAAACCACCCCCAAGTCAGAAGATGTCGGTATTCTTCCTTCTCCAGCAGGACTGTATTCGCTATGCTGGTTCTCCTGTCCATACCCGGATGGAGCAGTCATCCCAGAGACTGGAGTCGAGTCTGATCGAATATTCTTCGAGGAGCTGGGTAGCTGAGTACGATGCGTGCCCATAGCATGTTTGGGCGCAGACGGTGGCATTGACGAAGGCGAATGAATATTGTCAGCCGCACGTGGGTTCGCAGATCGATCGACGAGGTTCGGTCGTCGCGGGGACGAAGTGTGTTGCGGGAAGGACTGTGATCTCGAAGCTCTGCCATGTGATGGAGCCAATGACGAAACCCTGAAGCGCTCGACAGGCGTGCTATCGGTTCTTTCCTTCGTCACTGGAGGGGGTCGGGCTGGTAGTTTGAAGCTACTCTCATTTGCATTTCTGTTTTCGAACTCACCATGAAAGTCTACATCGCGCGAACTGGTACGTATGTGAGATATGTGAGGGCGTGCGGGCGCTGTGCTAGGCGCTCGAATTGACTCTGACCAAGAAACGTAGCTATTACTCTCATGGCGAGGGCCTCTACTTCCAAAACCTAAATATGAGGCTTGGCCTGTAGCCTCAACAGTAGGTATAGCAGTGTCATCTACCGAGGATTGATCACGACGACGCCGCTTAGTTTTTGGTACAGGATGCTGCGGTAGGATGTTCGTGTCCTTGTCGACTAATGCCGGTCGCGCTGAGGTGAAGAAAGCGGAGATCTCTCCTTCCTTCATCTGTTCATTGTCCTTCTTGCGTTTCTTTTTGGACGCGTCGGTTCGAGGGACAGGCTCTGATTCGTCTTTGTGCTGCTGCAAGAACTTCATCTCCGAGAAGACCAGATCGGGCACTGCGACACGTCAGCTGGGTAATGCGGGGAAGACGTACAGGAAGATATCATTCAGGCTGTATGAAGGGGAATGAATTACTCACACCCGCGGCCCTTGATTGCAGTAGATGTCCGTCCCTTGTTGAAGAGGCCTAGCTGCTCCCGTGGCTTCAACTAGTCCAATCGTCAACACCAAACTGTATGTTTCAGGCGACTGCATAGACATCTTACGGTCAGCCGATCTCCAGACATGTTCGTGGCCTGGAAGGTCTGCATAACACCAGATGCCTTCTCGCCCTTCTTGCGTCGAGGCTTGCGTCGCGACTTCCTTGATTTGTCCTTACGATCGCGATGGGCATGGGGACCTGGCGCATACTGTGGCTCATACCGCTCTGGACGCGTCTTTCTACGAGGTTTGCGCGCATATCGGCTGCTGCTAGAGCTGTCGCTGCATGTCGCCTGGAGCGCCTCGTCAGCACTATCCTCCGCTGGCTTATGCGGAGAGGATGCAAGTGGACGGGGATCGAGGAGGGAGCTGTCTGATCTGCGGCGGCGCTTCCGTTTAGCAGGCTCTGCGGTCTGATGAAGGTTATTGGGCTCGCGCGGTGCTTCCGGTTGCACTGTCTCGTCTAGCCACTTTCGTATGTCCATGCTGTCCTGCATCCTAGACGAGCCGTGCCGTTAACGGAGTCTGGTTCGCCTCGCAAGTCTGGTGGGTCTGAGATGCTCGAGGGGCCGGACGGTGCTGGGATACGGCGTGGTTGAGCAGATCGTCGTGATAGTCGCTCAATTGCTTGTGTGACGGTAATCTGGGGGAGGTTCAAGGTGACAAGTTCTCATCTGGATGTTGCAGCTACCTGATAGGCTACGTCAGATAGCTAGACAGAGTGATGGCAGGTGCAATGGGTGCTGCCATTGTGAGGCTGCCGGCATCGCCGAAGTCACTGCATTGCTGGAGGAAGGCACGATGCATTGATGACGCCAGTGCATTGTCAACCCTTCAACCTTCACGGTGTGGAAATGAGGCCATGTCTGTCGTGTCTGTTCCTCTCCTTACTTCGATTCGGGCTGCAAGATGCTCATATCATTGGATGGATGGTATTGCCATAGAATCGGTACCCGAGAGCGAGACGTCTTGGCACCGTGCATCGTGCTGCCGCATGCGCTGTGCCGCTATCGCAGGGAAATGGCTGCGATGGCTTCTCGTCGCCGACTTGCTTGGAGATACGCAGAATGAACACAGATGGATCGGTTCAGTCCGCGCTGCCTCGGTATATCTCGGTAAACACTGCCGATTTGCCCGCTTTCTGTATCCGATGGTGATGACTGTGTAGTATGTGATTGATGGGACATTCTGGCCTGTCTCAGCGCAATGGACTTCGGTCGTATAAGTGCGAGCAGTCGTCTCATTAAGCACGCTCAGCTTGCTACATCTTGACGTCGCGCGCACGAGCCAGTTCGGGATGCAGAGCCCTGGAGGGCCTGGAAGTTAGTTAGACCCGATCCCCACACCGTCAGACTAAGGATGGCGACTTTGATAAGCTTCTTTGAACCACCATCTTCTGTCCAATACCTGTCCGCCATTGACCTTTTCGTCACAGCCCGATAGTCTTGCTGTAGCCACGGGCGCAGATCGCTGCTGTCTCGAGCACGCAATCTGTCTATCCGCAGGCTTGTCCATGCACGTATTTCGCAGTGGCCCAATGACGCCGCCGCACTCCTGCCGGCACTCTGAGCAGGACGATGGATCGATGCACCTATCAAAAAAATCGTTTTCTCTGGCTCGTCAAGGGCCCTGCAATTGGGCCTCCCCGGTCTCAGGCTAACGTGGGCTGCATATACCCAGCATGAACAGACAGACACGGGACAGGCTAGGGAGCCAGCCAGCCGACATGTATGGCAGAACCAGTATCTGCACCCTGTCCATCGTCAGGTGCGGGCTCCTAGACAAGGCATTGGGACCGGCTAGCTGCGAGGGGCCAGTTCCGTTTGCCTGCCTGCAGCCCAGGTCCGAACTACCAGACCCCTTGGCTTGACTGGCTCGACTGGCTGGAGAGACACATTGCACCCCGTCGCTCGTGGCCATCCACGTCGCTTTATAAACCGGGCCCTCAGCCCTCCAGTCCGTGCGCGCAACCTATTACTTGCTTGCAGCCTAGCGCTCTTTCACCTGGTGGAGGGGTACTCATATCGTCGCTTGCCCCGCCAACCTAGACGCTTCACTATCTCTGCTCCTCACCCTGTGCCATCACTTTCTTGCGACAGCCTGCAGCCGACTCTCCCTCCTCTAACTCTTCAGAGCAACCGCTTGCGCCATCATCACCAATACAGCCTGGTGCTACAAGATCAAATGTTCGTTCCGTCACGTTGCTACATACTGCCTGCCCGGGAAGCCGCGATGGATTCCTCGCCTTCCTGCACTTTTCCTTCACTCTACAACTCCTGTCACTACCTGTCTTGAGCTTCCTTGTATCGCGCGCCTTGTTTCGAGTTGCGAGAGCTAGTATTGAGACCGTTCAGTGTTCGACCCAGACATCACTCTCACCATGTCTAAGCTCTTCATTGGGTAAGTACGCAGCCTTCCCATACCGCGACCGCGACTGACCCTTCACAGAGGCCTCGCATGGCACACCGACGACCAAGCTCTCCGTCAAAAGTTCGAGGAGTTCGGTCAAGTCGAAGAAGCCGTAAGTGACACGCTACTCGACGAATGTCGTCGCCAAGGTCGAGTCCATGCTCACATCGTCACAGGTCGTGGTTAAGGACCGCGATACTGGCCGCAGCCGAGGCTTTGGCTTTGTGCGCTATGCCCAGGACACCGAGGCCGATGCCGCTATGCAGGCCATGAACAACGAGGAGTACGTCTTTTCTGCCTTCGCGTACCATCCAACAGTGGACACTGCTGACTCTCCCAGATTCGACGGACGTAGGATTCGCGTCGACAAGGCCTCCGACCGCGCTGGCGGTGGTGCTCCTCGCGGCGGCGGCTACGGAGGCGGTGGCGGCGGATACCGTGGAGGTTACGGCGGTGGTCAAGGAGGAGGTAAGCTTCACTCAGCCTACCCATCGCGGTTCTATACTAACTATATCCCCAGGTTACGGTGGCGGCGACCGTGGTAAGCACATGTCACCGTTCTATTCACAGTGAGAAACTAACTTGGTAAAAAGGCTACGGCGGCGGCGGCCAGGGCGGTGGCTCTTGGGGACCTTCTCAAGGCGGCGGCGGCGGCGGCGGATACCAGTCTCGCGGCGGCTACGGTGGCGGTCAGGGCAGCGGCCAGGGCGGTTACGGTGGTGGTCAAGAGGGTGGCCAAGGTGGTGGCCAGCAGTGGTAAACACCTCGGCGGACCCACGTCCTACAGTCCTGTGCTCTCAGAATGACCAAAGGTACGAACTTTCTAGTTGAGGGCAAGAACGCTCCTGGGATTGGAGCTGGCTTTACACGATGGAGATCTTTTGGACGTTAGCCGACACTGCTCCTCCTCGAATGAGCATCATCATTCACATGGACGTTTCATATCATGTTTAATGGCAGTAGAGGTGGTTGGTACTGAGAGATGAGATACCCATTGAATCAGGAGGTGCTGCTACTCTGTACTTGTCGCGCTATGAGGGTTTTCGTTCTTTGTGCACTTTCCTTACGGGCTCTTCGTAGTCATGGTGGCTTGCTACCTACCCAAAAGCTGTGTCATTCCAATGTAACCTTGAACTCTACCAACAGACATGTCAGCAAAAAGCAGATTACACCGCATTCCAAAAGCAAGCATGCTCACTCATATTCGCCTCGCAAATGGGTACAACAGCCGGATCGGTACCTTCTTCCTGAGGATCAATGAGATCACATTACCGCTGTTGCGATGAGGCTCTGCGGTCTCTAACGGGTCCCTCCACAAGACGCAGGTTCGTGGCGATGCCAATTCTCCTCACCATCCAACACATGTGATAATCTCGACGGCAACTAACCCATTACTTAATCGCACGCACTAGTCTCGCTTTCTGCACATGGAAAATTCAGCAGCCAAGGCAGCGCATTGTGACCACATCTGCATATTGCATACATAGCCGCCGACCAGTCCTGCTGCAGCTGCAGCACCAACGCAGAGTAGAAAGGCAGGTTTCTGCAAGCGATAGCTGGGCTATCTGCGGGGAGTCAGGCGCACTCCGTGCTGCGTTTTGTATAGTCCTCGCGCACACACTTCCGCATCCTCGAGTGCTTTGCTGCTGCCTGAGGTGATCTTCACTTTTGGCGTCAGGCGCCAGGATGCGACGTCGAATGTCTTGGGCTGAGGATGCACGCTGACAGAACCCCTCCACACCCGTCTTCTACTATTCAACGACTCGCGGATATCCAATACTTCGTCGCATTTATTTTGCTTGTTCTTCAGCCGGCTGGAACGACTTCGAGTACATCATGAAGAGTTGGAACGGGCTGGAGGATGCGACGGCGCCGGTCAAGCCTGGACGGACCCCCACGCGGTGGCGTGCACTGCTTTCTGCGACCTTCATCACACTCGTGTGCCTCGCGGCAGTGGATACCATCTTCCCTGAATTGAAGAACTGGGATCTGTCCTCATTTCTAGACATTGAGCCTGCGTTGCATCATGCTGCTTTTGAGTGGTCCGAGGTATGTTGAGAGAGTGTTCCCTGAGCGTCGCACCGCACACGTGGTTCTGCAGCCACCCTGGCCCGCATCTTATCAGATCGAATGATAGCCTCGACCCAAGTCGCACAGCAGGTGGTTACTCTACTTCCGGGAGATGTCTTGGGCGCATGCCGGAGCACCACAGACGACCTTCGTCATCAAAAGGCTCAATGAAAAATATGATTGTGATTGGTGGCCTGACCAGATCCCATTCCGGCTCACCAGCATGTCGCTCCAGCCAATGTCCCAGCACCGTATCAACATAAGCGAACCGCAGCTCTCTACAATCTAGTCTAACAAGCCTGCTTCAGCATCACAATATCGACTGGTGGATGCAAGACTGACCAAGCTCCAGATCACACCGAGTGAGCATCTAGAATTCCACAAATGCTTTGGCCAATTTGAATGCGCAAAACTGAGCCTGCCACTGGACTACTTCAACGGGACCTACCCTGGTCATACTGTGAGCATTGCTATCGTCAAGTTACCCGCCAAAGTATCCGTAGATGATCCCCGGTATGGTGGCCCGGTCTTGTTCAACCCTGGCGGGCCCGGAGGATCAGGTACATCAGTTGCGCTCTTCTTAGCAGGAGGGCTACAACAGATCATAGACTCTAACGTCGAGACTTTCACCCCATCGCCTGACGCAAGATACTTCGACATCATCGGCTTCGACCCTCGTGGAATTGGTTGGACAGAGCCAGTCGCTCGATGCATGCCAAATCAGCCTTCTGTGTTCTCTTGGAGTTTGAGGGAAGAGACCGAGGGCCTTGTTGGAAGCTCGGATGCAGCCCTTGGTAGACTTTGGTCCATGCAACATGCCTTTGGCGCATCCTGTAAGCTTGCCGAGGAAACACAAGGGGGACCGGATATTAAGCAGTACATGTCTACTGCGTTCGTTGCCAGAGACATGTTGGAGATCACTGAAAGGCATGCCGAATATGTGGCGAAGGAAGTCATTCAAAAGGCTGCACAAAAGGCTGGCAAGCGTCTTGGATGCCACCGCCCCAAATATGTTCCCGGAGAAAGCAAGCTGCAGTACTTGGGCTTTTCTTACGGGACTTTCCTCGGATCTACATTCGCGTCCATGTTCCCGGACCGTGTTGGACGTATCATCCTCGATGGAGTCGTGAGTTCGTACGACTACACGCACTCGATGGGTAACGGAAGTCTTGTAGACGTCGAAAAGGCCATGACTTCTTTCTATACATTTTGCTACAATGTGGGTCCCAATAGATGTCCTCTAGCCACTGCCAACTCAAGTGTTCTCGACATAGAGGAGCGCACGCAAAACATTATCGCATCGCTATACCACAACCCGCTTCCCATCGTCTCGGCAGAAGGCCCAGAACTCCTCACTTGGTCCACCATCAAATTAATTCTGTTCAGCGCTACCTACCAGCCGCGCCTCACATTTGAGTTCGTAGCCGCCAGCCTATACGCCATTGAACAAGGAGTTGGTAGGGAAATCAACGAGATCGCCGGAACCTTGCGCTACAACCACGTATTCTCCTGTCCTGTCGACGGCAGTGAACCACTCGAACAACCAACTTCCCCTGTTGCCACGACAGCCATCCTATGCAGCGACGGAATCGACCAAACCCATCTGACTAAAGAAGAGTTCGCCGCATACTGGGATATCATGGACGAAGTTTCGCCGAACTTTGGTTCCTATTGGTCCATGCTACTGATGCAATGCGCATCTTGGAAGATCAAAGCTAGTTACAAGTTTGACGGTCCTTGGGGTGCAAATACATCGCATCCTATCCTCTTCATCAGCAATACGGCGGACCCGGTTACACCTCTTCGCAGCGGACGCTATATGCATAGTCTATTCCCTGGCAGCAGCCTCATGATTGGCGATCACGCGGGACATTGTTCGATGTCGGCGCCTGACCCTTGTATCTTAAGTCGCGTGAATACGTACTTTCAGACGGGTGAGCTGCCGTCGCCAGGGACGGTGTGTGTGCCGCCACCCAGTGAGTACAGTCTCAACTCAACGGATCCGGATAGTCCTTTCTACGACCCTACTTTGGGGAGTGCAAATTTGGCTGATATGCAGGATGATGAGGAGAGTTGGATTCGGCTGCGCGATGCTGGTGAGTCGTTACAGAGGCAGGCTGTTGCGAGTGGCATGTTTGACATGAACCTTCCGGGTGGTTCAAGGGCAAAGCGCGTTATGCAAAACATGTTGAAGGGTCGTTATTAGGCTGGGAGTACATATGGTTGTATGGAGATGCTTTTCATTTCTATCTCGAAGTCCCAAGTGACTCATGTGGATATGGCTCATCCCTGACCCAGAACATGGCAACCAAACTTCGGCGTCACGCACATCAGTCTGCATTCAAAACCATATCATCAAAGAAGAAGTTACCCTACTCTTCATGATTAACCCCCATTCCGATATTCCTTCTCCAGATACTCCACCTCGAGGTCTTGATTTCCCACTTGCTTCCTGAATTCCCTCGTATACCACTCCCAATGATCTGTCACTTGATACGGTGCCTCCGAGATGATCAGTGTTTCCAAAGCAGGGAAAATCCGCAACGTACGCATGTTCTGTTCGATAGGCTCGCGGAGTCCCATGGCTGGATCTTCAGATTGAAAGGCATCCCAATCAATATCGATATGCCTGATCAACCTTAGCTGTAACGGCGTACACCGCTTCCGGAGTTTCGAGAGGTCGGATAGGTCGAACTCGCGATGTATGAAGCGTGCAACAGGGTAGAAGTGTATTGCGAAGTAGGCATGTGCGGTTTCGGCGAAGATTTGTCGTGATGTACGAGATAAGTCGAGGCGATCCCAGTAGAAATGGGATTCGTGTTGCCAACTTCTTGCGCTGAGGTCTAGGGCTATATTGAATATCTTGTTACGGATCTCAGCCGGCAGACACAAGAGAGGCGAATGGAGTTGGTTGCGCTGAGCACTGTTGGCGGTTAGCACTCCATGCTCAGCTGCGCACTATTTCTAGTGAGGTATGAAACTAACATTGCGAGACAATCGGCGCTGGGTACGAGATTGGGTGGTCCTTTGCATTCGTTCATTTCGAAAGATGTGCAGGTTGGCGGGGTGTGAGTTGGGAGGCAGGAGTTTCAGATCAGCCGAATTGGAGTGAAGTTGTTAAGGAAGTTGAGGGCGTAGGTTGAAGAGGTGGTTGAGATTCACACATGATATACGGCGATGTGATTCACGCCGCTAGTGCATGGAATACCAGTCACGCATGATAAGTTAAACCATAGGTTACTTTCTTTCGTCATATTAGTCGTTCTCCCGCGTCCACAGTATCAGCACTACCTTTGAGTCAGCCGTAGCAGGATCGAATTCGGTTCGCCTATCCTTCGCGACCAGACTTCACGAACCCACACGCAGGAATCGACGCATTGGCATCACTTGTCAGCATCCATCCTAAAGCGCCATATACACCCTTCATCTTGCTGGGTCTCGATGGCTATGCATTCGGGATCCATTGCGGAGTGCTCAAGTCCTCATACATGGTGTACGTGAACTTTAACCGCGGATTCTCCATCCAACCCCTAAGCCGAATTTCGCACAACAGTCGAGGTCTCGTCTCTTCGGGTGCCCCGGAAATATGTAATCGCCTCAGCCCGCTGTGCGCAAATGGACAGTATTTACCTGGTTTTAGGCCCACTGCGTGATACCAGCTAAAAGCAAGGGCCCCCAGCATACGGAATT